CGTATAGGTCACAGTCAAGGTCACAAGGTCATTGTCCATGGTGTGATTTAAAAGAACTTAATCAGTAGTGTATGTATACCAAATATGAAGTTTCCATCTTTTATGCTTCAAAAGTTATGGCGAAGGTTGAAGTTTGCAGAAAAAAAAACTGTTTTTAGCATACAGGTCACAGTCAAGGTCACAAGGTCATTGACCTTGGTGTCATTTGAAAGAGCTTAATAAGTAGAATATGCATACCAAATATGAAGTCTCAACCATCCATGGTTCAAAAGTTACGGCGAAGGTTAAAGTTTGCAGACAAACAGACAGACAAATAGACAGACAGACAGACAGACAGGACCAAAACAATATACGCCTCGGATCTTTCGATTCGGGCGCATAACAATCATCGAATATCAAGAACACATATAAGATATTAAGGAGTCTGGGGTCAACAAATTAACAACAAATTAACCACCAGATATAACTTAAATTTTTAGATATGATATCTTTAGCTGTAAACTATCATTTGACAAAGAAAAATTTCATACATTTTAGTTTTAAAATTTGATCATTTTTGTATATCTTTATATGTAGCTCTTCTTATTAAAGAGATCGAAATAGTCTAAAAATGGCCACGACCACCCAGCTCCGTTAAATATATAAATAACAACTTTCGAAATACAAAACACATAATTTTGAATGTCAATCACAAAATTTTGTGAATAACAAGATGCCTTAATATTATAGCGGTTTTTTTTTTTCGATATTGTTGCGTATTCTAGCAGTGGTGGGACATGTAATCAGATGTGGATTCTCAAAAACTTGAAACTTTTAGAAAACTTGTAATTTTTCAAAAGTCAGTAACATCAAAACCTGTTTTATATTACTATGAAACAGAATTTATATTCAAAAAACTTTAACATGAGTAGAAGAAAACGCCTTCAACACGACATTGAAGTATATCGGTGATGTACTACAGTATGCATTATTCAGTATTAATAAACAATATTTACTTTCATTTATCAATCGATTCGATATGGTCCAGTTAACTTGAAATAAAAGACATCACAGAGTCTGTCACATCTTTGTCATATTTGGACGTATACCAGTTAACAACTAAATGTTGGACAAACAAGATGACTTCAACATCGCATTTTCCATTGTCAACTTTTTTTTATGTAGTAACATCCCACTTTCCCCTTGAATATAGTGAATATATCCCTCGACTTATTCGATGCTTAAGAGCATGCGCCTAGTACCATCAAATTTTAAACCGAGACAAGTTACTGACATATAAGATGAGATTACCTGGATTTCAGCAGCCTCATTTAAAGTCGGCATTTTGTAAATTCTATGATCCTTACAATAACCTTGTTAGCAATCGTAACCTTTTATTGGGGCGTATTTTGGCTGAATTGTTTCATACTAATTGTTAGGTCTTTGTTTTATACTGTGTTTGACTACAAAAGTTTTGTCTACCTGTTCATTACATGGGACGCATTGTCAACAAGGGATGCTTTCTTCTCTTAAAGGCACTTGATCCTAGCTCTAAAATTTCCAGGGATCTGGTTTTATACCCCCGTTTCAGATTTGTATTGTTTAAAAGCTTTATTTGATCGAACACTATTCGTTACTTTTTTATCTATGCTAAAAGTGAGCAGTGGCTACATTGCTTTACTGAATTTCTTTTTGTGATCAATTAATTCTTTGTTCATCTGAATATCATTTACTGACTATACTTTTAAAGATTTATTTTTCATGCTAATCCTATTTTATAGACTAAATACATAAAAAATATATGTCCTAAACATATTTTTATATGCACAAAGATAATTACAATTGTACAAAATTTGCTAATTTTGGCAGAGAATAACTCACGGCAAAAAGTGACATTTACAATGACTTCGTGATAAAAATCATTGTAACACAATTACAGTGCATCACGGCATATCAAGAAAAATACATAATTTTGTCAAAAGTCGTGAAAATTTTAATTGTGAATTATCTTTTACCAACCAAACATGATGTAAACTTTGTTTTAAAACGATATGCTGGGCTTAATTATCTTTTGATTTATGAGAGATGGTATGCCCTATGTTCAATTATAATAATGACAAATCTATTCTTATCAACAGATAGACCACGACACATTTTTATGTAATGAATCCATGAATTTGTTTAAAGATAATTTCTTTCTTCTACATGTTATTTTTGTATAATACACGTGCAACTGTTTTTCAAATATGAAGAGACTATTTACATACTCCCTCTGTAACAAAGGAAGTTTGTCGCAATTGAAAGAGCATGTTTTTTTTTTTTTTTGTTTTTTTTTTTTGGAGTTACCGACAGGCTGAATTAGATGAAATGCATCAACAGGACTTGGTTTATTTGTTATTTCATTATTTTTACTTTTTAAAAATGCTATCACATGTATTCGCTGTCATAGATTATTTACCCCCAGTCACTTACAATGCAGGTAGGCTTTAACTACCGTATTCTTATTCGATATTTGTTAGGCATCAATAAATTTTAGTATAAGTATGATAAGCAAAGAAATAGAGGACATTCAATGTTTTGTTTTTGAATAAGGAATTGATTTCACGAGTGGAACAGGATTTTTTAGATATTTTCACGAGTGCGAAGCACGAGTGGAAAGATCCAGGGGCCACATCGCTCACCTGAGCACATCGGCTAGGAAAAAAGCATAGATCAGATCAGAACTGAAAAATGTTCCAAGTGGACTACATGTCAATATGTATATTTGTTATTTCATTATTTTTGCTTTTTAAAAATGCTATCAAGTGCATTCGCTGTCTTGAAAAGAAGTTTTTAAAGATTTTTCCTATATACATGTACTGTGTAAAACAATGTAGGTAGGCTTTGAACAAAGCTACCTGAGGATGGTTCCTCATATTTTCATCTTCCCTGGCCCAGTGGTTCTTGAGAAGAAATTTTTAAAGATTTTTCCTATATATTCCTATGTAGGCATAAAAAAATTTGAACAAACTAGAATCTACACTACCTGAGGATGATTCCACATGATGGCCAAGTGGTTCAGAAGAAGATTTTTTTAAAATGCCATTAATTTTTTGAAAGTATCTCCCCAAAGAAGCATACTTTGTACAAGTTTGGTTGAAATATTTAGAAGATGAAAATGTGAAACGTTTACGACGACAACGACGACAACGACAACAATGACAAATTTTGATTGTAATATGATGATAAAAACAGTATTCAAGATATCCTTTCACAAAGATATCACTTTTATTCAATGGATAAATTGCAGAATTTCACTGTTGAAAATGTAATAATTGAGATTATTATACCTCATTATAAATATTCTAAACAACGCGTTATCTGATTGGTTCTAGGTTATATATAAACGACACGCTTTTCATCATATTCCACCTCTTCGGAGTACAGTGTATTTTCCCGCAATATAGTTCTCGTTCGTTGAACCGGTCACACCACAATAGCCTGCGTTCTCTTTGTCATGATCAGTGTGCAAACAAAATAATGGCCTAACAATTTGTTTAAAAAACGACAATTTATTAAAAACTATCCATTTGAAAATTAAAAAAAAGGACCTATTTGCCATGAAGGTCTCACATCCACTGCGTGCTCTTTGTCAGGATTAAAAATTTTAAAAAGGTTGTTTTATCAAAATTTTTGGGTTGTTCTTATTTTGTTCATACTTTGTACAAATTGCATAGCATTTACATGTATATTGTTTGTGTTGTTTAAATTCTAATATTAGTATCTTGTTTAACAACAAATGAGAAGATCTGTTATGGTCTTGGTAATATAATTAAGTGATATGCACCCTTGTAATACTAAGAGTGCAATTTTAAGAATCTGTTGAATTTCTTCATTTGATCTAAACACTGCATTACCATATTGACAGAAATTGTTTTCTCTTCAATACATAGATGATCACTTATAAAAATTATTCCACATGTTTTAAACGATGTCATAAACAATGTTGTTTGTCAAAGTTTAACATGACAGGAACTCTAATTTTAGGTAACATTATATATATAAATAACAGCAAAATTTCAGCGAGAGAAGTAAATTACTTTATTTATAAACTTTGATTGATGAAATTTTAAGAACATATTATCCAGGTTTCAGTTTCACGAATCTTCATGCACTAATCCCGTGTTATTTTTGGAAACAAATTGACATCTTTAAAAGCTTAAAAGAGACGTGCCTACCAATTCTTGGCTAATGGCCTAGTCCTACAATGGTATTTGACATAAAACTCATTTCTGTTACCTATTTATAAAATATATCTATAAAATTAAAAAATACAGAACTCCTAATTGCTTTGATCTTTTGAACTTTTCTTTCTTAATTTTTTTTTTGAGGACTAATTGCAGGAATTCAAAATCAAATTATATAAAAGGTTATAAGAAAAGAGCACGTATGATTTTTTTTTCTTGGTCATAAAATTACTTTAAAAATAAATCCATCAGAAATAAAGATTTATTTAGGGAGAAAAGAGTTCATCTTAGAAGATCAACGAAATGCAGTTTGGGTCTGCTGAAACATTGTAATTTGTATGTATTTTTTTTAAAAAGGTAATGTATAACTCTTGCAATTCAAAATAAAAATGAAAGAAAGATTTTTTGTTATTTTATGAGAAAATTCCAATCAATTTCCTCGTGTATATTACAGCATAATATTTCCTCACAAATTATTTTCATTTTATAAGCTGTAAATTTCGATGTTTCCATCTCACGATTTTATTTCTTTGTTCTTCAGAATAGGTAGCGCTCAACGAAATATAACATAGAGAGAAATCTAATGCGAAGTTGTTTCAGAGAAATGAAGCATTAAAACTAAAGCGATAGATATGACAAGTATCTCCTGTATCAAAAACTTAAGCTTGTTCACTTTATGACTCGATTTATCAAAAATGTCATTTTGTCGTGTTTTCTGTGATTTCAAATATTACACGATTATCACCGAATACTCCTCAGTACTAGTGTTTGTTTGGTTTGGTATTCAGCGTCGGCGAGAGAGGATATTATTTTTAAGTTATGAGGAAAATTTTCTTTCTTTTTCTTAATATAACAAGTGAGTTGTTTTTTAAATATCTTGAAGATTTTCTTTTCATATTTTGATTTCAAACAAAAACATCTAATAATAATATTAACAAACTGAAAATGAAAAAAAAATACATATAATATTTAAAAAAAGCAATCCAACCAAAATTATGATAGTAATCTTCATCGCAAGAACTACTTTGTAGTATACCAATTTATTACACACATTTCTATAATCTAGGGACGTGTAAAATAAATCGCACAAAATGGGGCAGGGTAGGGTGGAATCTAATTCACATCGAATAAGAATATTGCCGAAAGCCAGGTTTCTCCACAAGTAATTGCTCTGAAAATTTTTGCTACTGATTTTTGGCGGAATTATACTTGCATGCTGATTTACTTTGCTTTTATATAGGAATAGTATGTCAGTTTGGAAGTAGCGATTTCTACTCTCTGTCCCCCTTTGAACGCAGTGCGTTTGAGGGTGTGCCAGGAATCCCAGGAGACCAGCTATATAAAATGGCAGGTAAAAACGAGGTCGTTAAAATGCTCTAACGGCAATAATTTGTTTTCCCTTTTTTCTTGGCTAATAAAAAACTTTAAAACTTTTCAAAACCTTCTGGTATATGTTTAATTTATGATACCGTGCATTTATCCACAGACGGTTCTGTTTCTGATGCTATGAAGTTGAGAGCAAGATTAGCCATGTCTGCTGGTGGAGCTCAACCTGCACCCATTGCAATGCCAAGTGGTGCTGCGCCGGTTGTACCAATTACCGTATCAACAGGTGGCACTGCCTCAGTGACGCAACCAGTTGCCAGGGGTCGTGCTGCACACAGTGTACCGTTAACCATTGCTAGTCCTCCAGTGTTAGGAGGCGCCCCCACCCAGATTCCATCTTTCTATGCCTTACTGCAACCACAGTCCATGGGGGCATCGCAACTGGCATATATGCCACCAGCTTACCCAAATCGGGGCATGAATTACAACATGGCCACCTGGGCCTTTATTGGTAATTAAAACTTTTCCTTTTTCTTAAGATTCTATCAGTGTTTTTTTCCAAATAGAATACATGCAGAATTCCTTACATGATTCCCTTCATATTTAAAATTTACCTTTAAAACAAAGTTGGCTGCTTTTTTAGTACCCCATGATGTCATGAAGATAGGTGAGAAGAACTACTGGTTTTCCTCTCAATCTCTTAACTCCAAGACTTAGTCTTAAGTTTTCAATGAATGGCAAGGAATCTCTTAAAAGTGATGAATGTTCTAGAACTTTAAGCAAGTACACATGAAAATGTCAAGGTCATGCTAAATTATGTTCCCCAAACGAAGTTGGGGAACATATTGTTTTTACTCTGTTTCTTATTATTATTATTATTTTTCTTCTTCTTCTTCTTCCTGGAACTTTTTTGTCCGGGAATGATCTTGTAAACTGTTCGTCCGATGTATAAAACCTTTTTAGGGTTAGTACATGTTATGTAGATTTGCGGAATCAAGGTCATTTTGCGCGCACGTGCTTGCAAGAGCGTGCACGTGCAACACGTGAAATGACCAATATAATAGATATAGCCACAACTGTTCTATTTTTAGATGAAATGCTTTGAAACTCATAATGTGAAGATATATTAGTAGTATAGACATGACGACATGATGAAAATAGCAAGATCTCACGCGCATGCACGTGCACTTCGCTCTGATTGGCTGCAACTAAAGTCTCAATATCTTTCTTGTTTTTTGACGAAATCCTTTGAAATTTTGAACATAGTCATGCATTAGGATATCCTACAACATGAAATAAAGCAATTATCATGAAAACACGTGCATGCACGTGCGCTGCAATCTGATTGGCTGAAACTTTAAACAGCTATAACTCCCTCAACCAAACAGGATGGAACTGGTCACCATGCACATTACAACATGTGCTGCAATCTGATTGGCTGAAACTTTAAACAGTCTTAGTTTTCACCCAAACGGGGTGGAATTTAGAACATAGATAGATGTAATGGACTTCTACAAGAAGGTATGGTCACCATGCTCATGTATGCACGTGTGTGCACGTGAAATGAGTAAAATCAAACATACACTTGAATAAGAGTATTTTTTAAATAATTTTGGATTAAATACTTTAATATTCAGTGTATTAAAGATATAGATTGTGTAGACAAGATGATATGGTCATGACGCAAATGCATTCACATGTGCACGCGTGCAATGCTAAAGTTTAAATGATTTTTGTACACTTCTTTGTAAATGTTGTTAAAATCTCAGATGCATAGATTTTTGTCTTATTTAATGAAGCTTACAGGGAATATGGCACCAAAAGGGAGTTGGGGAGTGTCAAGGTCATGTTACAATTAGCACTAGTTTTAATCTGGTTTTAGAGATGCATATAATATACAACTCTGGTAGTTCATAACTGGAGAATATACTTGGCACAAAGATAGCTTATAGCCAGATGTTGTCAATACCTTGAAACAAGGACATTTGAGCAGAGTCAAGGTCACATAAGAAATGCACACTTTGTCCTCATTTGAACTGGGTCATGTTACACTTTACAAGGGCATCTTGATACATAATCAATTTGCAAACAATTCATGCAACCATTCTGTCTTTTCTGTCAAAATTTCTATTTCATAACAATGTATATGTATTAATTTATAAAAATTCTCTTTCAGATTAAACAAAGACCAGGAAACCTAACTTGTGTATTTTCAATATCTGATACACTGTACAAGTTTAAAGTAAAATAAAAGAGGTTTATCAATATTTTTAGTATTCTGGTATTTCAAAGAAGTAAAAAATGGTCTCTTGATTTCCAAAAATGAAGTGTGGTGAATATTAAAACCAGTAGGTATATCAAAATATAAACGAACGTGCTAGTTTTTTGCAGAAGTTTAATACATATACAGATCATTTTCTTCTTTCATACATGAAGTTTTTGATAGCCCTTTTTCTGAATCAAAAAATGAAATTTTCAAACATTTAATGACTCTAATATGATGAATTGCTGCAAGGGAGAAAGTCATTAGCAGGGGGAAAAATTATGTAAGTATTGAGTTAATTAGTACAGCAAAAGCAGTCATAAAAATAAAGATGAATTTTCCATTCATACAAAAAAAGTTATTTAAGCTTAACAGTACATTCTTCTGCCCTGCATGTCAAAATATTACAATCCACTCAATAAATCACTCAACTTTTATAAAGTCTCTATGCAAAACACTTAACAATTTCCATACACACCAAACACTCAATAAGTATCATGTGAATGACAAATTTCTGCCCAGAAAATCTCTCAGAAGTGATACAAACGACGTGAAATACAATAAAGAGAGCACCTTTTTTTCTGAAACATACAAAGCACAAGTAACAAGTTATTTGCAAATTGTGAAAACTACTTTCTTTGCTTTACGAATCTGGCAAAAAACAAAGTAGCAAAGAAATGCAAACATGTAACAGCCTAAAAGATTTCTGATACAGAGAAGATAACCATTGTGACATTAAAAGCACTACAGTTTATGAACAAGATATAAATACTGAAATTTATGTACAAATATTAAGGTGTTTTTCAAGTAAGAAGGAAAAAAGATTCCAATAAATTACAGTAGAATTTTCTTTCACTCAGTGTCTGAGATGGCAGTGGCACTTCCCATATATACATGCATTGCTGCTGATGTAATGCCATTTATCAGATTGTGTCTTTCTGCAGCATTTTATGCTGTCTACCAAAGATGAGATTCATGTTGGGGCATTCGCACCACCCCCACCCCTCCACCTAACCTGCGATAGTTCATTCCTCCACACAATTTCCAGCAGTTTGCCTCTGAATCGTACACTTCTATTGTCTTTAAATATGTTGTCCCATCAAAGCCTCCAATGGCCATAAGTTGTCCATTTACAACTGCTAATCCAACCTGCAGGGAGAGAAAAATTATCAATGAGTAAAAAATTCACAATACAAGTCAGAAATTGTCATTTCTTTTTATTAACAAACACACTAAGATAAGCTGTGTGATGATGAAGAGGTACTTTTTTCTGAATGATATTAATTTAAGCTACCATGTCTTGAATTTTCTGCTTAAACTTGTCAAGACATTCTTAAAGGTACATTTGATGCATATCGTGGCAATCTAAGAAATCTGCATCATTTTCTACGCATGTATTGAAAAAAAATTGTGATTACATAAAATAATTACTCCATGGAAAAAATTACCTGGTATATTTACAATATTTCAAAATGATATAATTATGTATATTCCACTTAAAATGAGATAAATGTGATGCATGGATTAGTAAAGAAGTTACAGAATGGCAGATTTTAAATAAAACACTTACCCCACTCCTCCGTGATGTCATGGCAACTACTGCCTGCCACGTATTAGTTTGGGGGTTGTATCGCTCTGCACTGCTTAACTCAGTCGTGTCGTCTCTCCCTCCCACTGCATAGATCATATTGTTATACACAGCCACTCCAAGGTGTTTACGTCTCGTGCCCATGGGAGAAACGGGTGTCCATCGATTGCTACGAGGGTCATATCTCTCAACTGTTTGGAAAAGTCAGTATAGAATGTACTAACAGAAAATTTACACCATGAATAATGAGCATGTACTAAGCCATACACTAGAGAAACCTGCTAAAAATTAGCCATTCCTATTGAATAATAAGCCAAACAGTTTGTTCTACATTGTACTACCATTCAGACATCATTTACAATACTAAAGGTACAGTTTTCTTTTGTATTGTCGGTCAATATGAGAATTTACCGGCATCAAACTTTTTGTCTATTTACATATCTTCAATAGTTGGAGCCGTATTTCAATAATCATTTCAGTTCTATATTGATTACCACCTACCTGTGTTTAGTGGGGATGTCCCGTCTGAACCCCCAACAGCATATAAATATCCTCCCAAAACAGCCACCCCCACTCCTAACCTCCTGGTACTCATAGACGCAACCTTGGTCCACTTATTCAGTTGTGGATCATACCTATTAGGCAAAACAGAAAAACATGCTATGAATTGAGCATATTTTAACATTGCTTTTTTTTTTAAATGATGATTTTTTTAAACAATGCATCAACTAGTGCAATATACATTTTTTTTTTTTGATATAAAAACAAACTATCAAACACATCTAATAAATGCAATCCTACAATATTAGTAAAAGGCCTTATGCTAATTTCCCCCTTTTTTGTTGTAGCAGAGAAAATGAAATTTTTTTACCATGCAAGGCAAAATTTCAGGAGAAATGATTTATTAAAGAGTTATCTCTCTCAGGAAAGGGTAACTCCTCCTTAATTCACATCAAAGTCAAGGAACGTTGACCACAAATAGCTATTATTATTCTTAAAAATTTCCATACCTCTCTACAAAGTTTAGACAGGAGACCCCGTCTTGGCCCCCCACTGCATACATGTAATTGTCCAGTACTGCCACACCCACACTGGTCCGACAGGAGCTGGTGGGGGCTACATCACCACTCCACTGGTTTGTCTGAGGGTCAAACCTAGGAAAAAAACAGACACTTTAATCAAAGCTGAAATACAGAACAATTTTATGATACATAGAATGAAACTTCAAAATTTTAGTCCAAAATTACATAATATGCAAAAGCCCTCAAACCATGTATTATATTTTACTAATATTTACGTTTGAGTGTCATTCAGTGATTTTATTAAAATAAGTATTTTTTATTATAAGGGCGCGCAAGTGAGTTAAGGCTACGCAGGAGTTTTCTGTGCAAAATAATTAAGTAAGACCCATTATTGCTATACATACCGCAAAGAAAATGTTAAGACTTGTTTTCTAATACATTATTGGTACCCACGATATGCGATAGCCAGTACACATTATGATGTCATCGACCTTTACTACAGAAGTTTATAAAAAACATCAACAAAATCGCTTCGGCGCAAGGGCATACCTTACTTTGTTTTACAGAAACAAGGTGTAAAGAAAAGCAGAATATTCCAAAGATTTAAGATATTGCTCCACAAATGTCGACACTGCAATTGTTTAATTACTATTTGCACAGTTCTAAGTTGAAACAGGGTAAAAATGTACAGTCCACCGTAAGTTTAGTAAAATTTTCATTGATTGAAGAAGAGGATAGGATTTGTGCAGCAATTTTACTAATTTTAAGAATATTTTTCTTAATATTATACTTTATTTATTTTAAATTAAATAGGATATGCCCTTGCGCCAACGTTGTTTTGTTGATGTGTTTCATTACCTTGAATGGGAAAGAACTATGACGTCATAATATGACGTCATAATGTGCACTTACAATGATATACTATGGGTACTTAGTATGTATAAGAAAATCAATTTGAACTTTCTCTGTACATAACAGATACAATTTATGCATTTTTATTAGCTCATTTGCATAGAAAACCCATATCTCGCCTTAACTCACTTGCGCGTACAAAAGTTTGAATATTCAAACACAGAGGAATTACGGTAATGTAAATTAAATGAAAAATTAACACAAGAAATTTCTGCAATTTATAAAAATTACCAAACTAAACAGTACATGTAAATTACCTTTCAATACTGTTTAGATAGGATTGCCCATCGTGTCCTCCAACGGCATACAAAAGGTCATTTAAAACAGCAACTCCCACCCCACACCGCCGCTTAGACATCGGTGCCACCATACGCCACTCACTGGTCTGGGGATCAAACCGCTCCACACTAGATATGGCATCACCACTACACCAACCTCCAACTAAGTTTAGGGAAAAAAAATACAAGAAGAGAAAAAATTGAGTGCTTTGTTTTTCATTGGATATGTCAACTTATAGATTAAGGCCTAGAAAAGCAACAGAGAGGGTATCATATTTCTTTTATTAATGTGTTATTATTATTGAAATTTATCACTCAAAGATTTGAAGGGCACTGCTCCCTTACCTGCAAATAAAACCTCTCCACATCTGATTGGTTTACGGGGGCGAGTTCTAGGACCCTGCATGAGGGGTCGCTCCTGGGGTAAAAGTAGGTAATTTTTAGCTTCATCCACTAAGTCTCTACATGTGTCATCACTCTTTATCAATAATTCAGACCCCACTGTTCCTACCAGGAATTTGGGGCTCATTAAGGGAAGACGGACATGCTGGACCACCTATAGTTGCAAAAGATTTCTTTTTTAAAATTTCCATACCTCTCTACATAAAAAAAGAAATTAAATCACTACATGTACATCTTTATGTATTTTTTCTCTGATAATTTAATATTAACATGGGCAAACTCAAAAATATCAAAGAAGTTGAGATCAGGAAGCTAGGATTCCATTTCATAATACATTCATGACAGCTAATTCTGACAAGTTCCTTTCCCCAAATATTCGACACATACATAACTGGAGTTCAACTTTGACTACGAGATCTGCAAATTAACAAATATGCAGAGCTTTAATTTACATGATGCAATGATTGACACTTACTACTGGTAGATGTGTTCGCCTCTCTCCAATGTTGAACTTGACCCAGTTGACGACTGCGTTATACACCTGTTCTTCACTGCGTACGTTCAGTTCGTCGCTGGAGATAATGTCCACCAACTGATTGACCGGAAGCAGCATAAACTCCTCACTCTCCATCACCTGTTATGTTAGAAATAGAAATTTTACAACTCTCAGAAGGAATTAAAGATAATTTACTTTCAACCCTGGAGGCATATCAAATTTGTTTTTTTTTTTCATTAATAAAAGACAAGTGGACAGAAAAGGGTGGAGTAGAGAGAACAAGAGGGAGAGAGAGAGAGGAAGAAGTTACTCTGGCATGACAAACTATAAGAGAAATTTCAAATTATTTTACCTCTTGAAAATTATGTTGAGTAAATTTGTCAGCAATTCTTAACAAATCCCTGCATGCATGAGTGTCAGCAAAGGCTCTGATACCCAGGCAGTTAGAGGGATCTAATTGTCTCTTCAGAAACTCACAACACACATCCTGTATCTCCGCCAGCTGTAACAGACAGGCTGCGGGGAGGAGGGTCTGAACATTTCCCTCCTCCACTGTAATGTTAGAGGTATAACAGAAGTCTATTAACAGCTCCATGGCCGTCTCATCAATGTCTCTGATGGTCACTTCTGTCTGTCTGCTCTCGGCCAGCTCTCCCGTGAACATGGCGTGGAAGTACGGACTACAGGCAGACAAGATGACGCGGTGAGCGAAGATCTTTTTAGCTCCGACAATAAGGACGACATCACACAATTCACGGTGTTTACGTAAGACGTTGATTGCCTCCAGGGTGTGTCTGGGGTGTTTGTCCGAGGTGTAGGCTAGTCGGGCCGGGGAGGGGGGTCGGTCCATGCCAGATTGAATCAGGTCAGCTGTCTGTAGCTCTCGACTGCATGAAGAGAGAAAAAACAATGAAGTTAATAGGATGAAGTAATAAATACAATGACAATATTCAATAATAAAAACTAAAATAATCATTTTTGGAAAAACTAATTGAAATTTTTCAACTAATATTTTAAGAAATATCAAAAACAAAGATAACTGCTGAAATTAAAAATCAAATTTCAATTTTTTTCCTTTGTATAAGCTACAGAAAATAATTCAGAATTTAGTTTTTAAAACTTTCTTTTAAAAATAATATAAATATATTTACAAAAAAACTAGAAAAATAAAGGATTTAAAATGGTTGTACAGTTTTTTCCTCCTGCATTTTTTCTTTGGTAGAAATGTTACTCTACATCTGAAAAGGAATTCTTGGGGTGGCATGATCAACCCTCCTGAATATGGTTATTATTTGGGGGTATATTCCTCTTTATATATATATCATACACCTGGAATAGCTATCAAGGTTTACTCAAATCTTTTGTTGGTACTGCAATCAAATTACAGTTACCCATGTTTGAACAACAATATAAATTATAAACAAACAGGGTGATTACTCCCACACTTAAAAAGCAATTAAAAACATTAAAAGGGAGATAATAAGTTTGTTTGATAACTCCTGTGGAGTAAATTGCTATGTGTGAAAAACTGACAAATGTCATTACACAAAATATAAAGACAAGTGAGGATTCATTCAATTAATTACAAAACTATGATAATCATGGATATAACTGATATAATTAATCAAAATTATCAAAAGGTTAGAAAAATTAACACCTGAATAATTGTGCATGCAATGGATTTTTTTACTTTTAAAATTTAAATATTTCAATCTTTAGTCTTTGATTTATTATTCACCTTTAAATAGATTACTAGGAATTACATGTCTGTCAACATAAATAAGACCCTAAAAATTAAATGTCATTTTTACTTATTCATACATAAATAATAATTACAAGCCAAAAATATATTACAAATTTGTTCTTATTCAGAAGAAAAAGCTCAGGTATTTAATATTTGTCATATCTGAGAAATCTGTGTAGTCAATACAAAGTCTCTAAGATAGTAAGATCACATGCTTTTTTAATTAATACCTGTTGTGATATCTGGGTTTGGTGAGAGCCAGCTGTCAATGGTGGTCAAGTACAGGTAACACTCAGTGAACGATAATCAATGATTTTCCATATAATTAGGAGGATATATTTAAGGAATAACTATCTTAATTTTTGGTTTCATGATGTGATCAATCGAGCAGCTTGCATGATAATTTGCATAAATGCCAAGTCGATCAATTGATCATTAGCATGAAATCAAAAAATGTGACAGTTATTCCTTATATTTACATGCTCTTGATTCTGCAAATCCATGTGCTTGAAGCCCCGCTTCTGTCACTATTTGTCCCGCCCCACAAGTGATCTTTTTTACCCCGCCTATCAATGAACCAGTACATTTATGTAGAAATAAAGTACATTAACTATTTGTAATTTTATCTCGGACAAAGACATTGGAAATGTAAATATTTATATAACAGTGTTGTACTTTGCATGCACTATGCCTAAATAGTAGTCAGGGTTTGACACATGGTGCTTGAGCTGGAGGCTAGTGCACTATGTGTCAAACCCTGACTACTATTTAGGCACAGTGCATGCAAAGTAAAACACTATTATTATTATGCTGACTGTTGTTATGAATAAACACGGCAATATTTTCTCCATTCCCAATGTTTCATCACCTCTTACATTCGTCTACTCTATTATGACGTCACCTTGTGCAACATGTATGTCATAATCTTTTTCTTTAATTTTGAACGTTCCATGCTTTAGGTATAATTACAGGTAGTTTTAGAGAATATTAGTTGAGTGAAGGGAGGAAAATTGCAAGAAACTATTTTAGAAGAATTATTTTAGTTTTCATCTTAAGTGTAAAATATTTGAAACTAATTAAGTTTATAAATATTATAGTACAATGTTATAGATAACAGCGTCTGTGGCATAATTAGTAGGGCGTTGGACTGACAATCTCGGGGTAGAGAGTTTGCTCCCCGGTATGGGCCCTGTTGGATTTTCTTCACAAAATGAAGCCATGCATTATTTAGACATAGTATGCTTATGCTATATATATAAATCCTTAGAACACTATGCGATAATAGTTGGGTATGGGTATATAGAGACAAACTGACAGGAAGCATAATAAATATTGAAAATGTTAGAAATTTTAAAGTTGTTTTGCTATATATTAATCTGAACTCAAATTAAGATACCTAAAAGGACAAATTTTTAACAACTGAGGTACCGGTAGTCAAAACGGTCGGAAGTTGTTTTTTAGAGGAAACACTGAATAAATGTTAACACAAGCTTCCTTTAAATTTTAATTATTTAAGAATTTTGCCATTATAACCCTGACATACAGTCAAGTTTATAATTGATTGCTCAAAGAGAAAAATTCACTTATTAGACCTTCAATATGGCTAGCAATGGGAAATAACTCTTGCTAAATTCAAGCCTATCATAAACTATCTACTAGCCCATTCACAATAATTGTGCTACTACTCTTTTGCAGGGAAAACTAACAAGAGGCCCATGGGCCACATCGCTCACCTGAGCAACTTGGATGATGAAGTTCTTTACCAGATTTCCCCTCTTGCTATACCTATTGTGCCCTCCCTACCCCCTCCCCTTTCATGATTTTCATACTTTAGAATCTACACTACCCCAGGATGCTTTCACATAAGTTTCAGCTTTCCTGGCCCAGTGGTTGAGAAGAAGATTTTTAAAGATTTGTTCTATATATTTCTATGTAAAACTTGGATTCCCTATTGTTGCCCTGCCCTACCCCCGGGGGTCATGATTTTAACAATTTAATATTACACTACCCAAAGATGCTTCCACATAAGTTTCAGCTTTCCTGGCCCAGTGGTTCTTGAGAAGAAGATTTTTAAAGACTTGTTCTATATATTTCTATGTAAAACTTGGATTCCCTATTGTGGCCCCGCCCTATCTACACTACCCAAAGATGCTTCCACATAAGTTTCAGCTTTCCTGGACAAGTGGTTCTTGAGAAGAAGATTTTTAAAGATTTATTCTATATATTTCTATGTAAAACTTGGAAATGAACCTTTTTGAGATTGTATATGCTTTTTATTCCATAAAATCCATATAAAAACTGAATTTCAACAATTTTTTCTCAATGTTTTTTCTTGCTTCAAATTAACCTGCCATGTTTATGTTAATTTGGAAATCTATGGATTGTTTGTAGTAAATGCACTGAAAGTTAGTTATCGCAAATTTTTATTTTGCTACATTGCCAATACACAGAACTAATTCTATTGTTAAACCAGGTCCGTAGGGAAATATCATTTTATTAACAATAGAACATTCTATCTAGATGCTCAGCTCTAGGATAGATAAAAAGATATGCTCAAAGAAAAATGAGAGCTTTGCTAGAGGTAGATAGAATGTTCTACTGTTAAAATGCTACATGTAATTGTCCTACGGACCCAGCGTAACAATAGAATTCCTTCTGTGTATTCCTAATGAAGCAAAAGAAACATGGGCGATAACTCATACTCAGTGCATTTACTACGAACAATCCAGAGAGTTCAGAATGTAAACATGGCAGATAAATTTGAAGCGAGAAAAACCGTTGAGAAAATTAGTTGAATTTTCATTTTCATATGGATTATTTTTTGGGATAAAAGGCTTATACAAACTCAAAAAGGTTCTTTTTAATAATTTGGTTATTTTCATCCCAATCCCTTTTATATTCTTCAAAATCATTTTGCAGCGGATCTGCTCTTGATTTGCTACATTGCAAGTATATGGGACTTATTCTAACTGTGGTGAGGGCTTGTCCCGAATCACAGTTTAATTATTATAATGATGCTAGAGGTAGGCCTAAAATAATTTTTTTTACTAACTTTATGCTAATTTCAGCTAAAAAATAAAATCTTCTGTTAAGCTTTATGTGCCTGCCACCATATTTCCTACTCGATGGTCCTTTTTTTTAACTTGCATATTTTATTCTTCACTGTAAAATAAAATCAAATAAAAATATGGAAATATATCGCATCAGGGCACAAATAGAAAGATACGCATAGAATCAGAAGAAAAGGTTTTGTCTCAGCCCAAGCACTTGACATCTAGCAGCTGATGAATGAGATGATTCATTAATGAAGTAAGTAAATCCAGTAAAATGCATTAATTATTAACTTACCATGCCATAATTGAGATTTTTTCAAAAATAAACTAATTAATTATGTAAAATTCAATATTTTCAAAGATAAATTTTCTCTTCATGACGCAAAATATCATTTTTCATTCTAAAACAATCTAGGTTTCATTTTTCAGGAAATGCCATTGGGAACTCTAATTTAGGAACAAATTGCAGAAAATATTTTCCCGGAAAAAAAATATATTATAAATATTTCAAAATAAATAAAATTTTGCAGAGAAACAACCGTCTCTGTTGAATAAAGAAAAAAATTGTCATTTATCCAAAGTCACATCTTTTAAAGAGAACTATTGTAAATAAACATAACTACGGAATTCAATGTTTACTTGGGTTTTGTAATTTATGTAGCCAATAATCAACGTCAATTATACACTTTGTTTATTAAACGAAAAAAGGCAGTCATACAAACGTATTGCCGACTTGTTGAGGCTAGCTACGAAAGTTTGGCTGGAAACGTAAACTCTTTTTCAGTTCAACCTGAATATTTAGCAAAATAATGACCACAGACGTAGCATCTCAACCAGAAGAAACAGAAGAAGAAGCAGCTGAGGTTTTGTTACCAAATACAAATATTGTGACCCACTGTATTCTGAAAAATGATGTGGAACGTTTAAGAAAATCTTTTGAAGACGATGAAGATCCATATAAAGAAACTGTAGCAGAATTAATCAACACAAGAGGCAGGGATGGAAAATCTCCCCTTGATTTAGCGTCTACACTTGGCAGAATAGAACTTACAAAAGAATTAATACTTAGGGGAGCTGAAGTTAATTCTGTAAACATAAAAGGTAAAATTGAGTTTGATGCTGCACATTTTAATATAAGGCCATTCCAAGTTTTTTCTCTGTTTAGCGTCCACCCATCTTTTAAAAACCTACCTACCTATTCGAAAAAAAACACACAAGCCAAAACATAAAACACAGGCTTAAAATATATATGATTTGATCTAACTAAACTGCTTTAATAGAAGAAATATCTATTCTTAAGCAAAAACAAGGGAATAAATGCTTAAAATACCCCCAATATAACTTACTGTACAGAATTATTTGGAGAAATTGACAAAATTCAAAAATTTCGACTAAATTAATGAGTTTCAGGACTCCTGATGTTGTGTACGTGTTTTTTCTTACATGGGGTCTCAAAAACCAAGGTGCACATGGACGCTAAACATAGAAAAAACTTGGAATGGCCTAAGGCAAAAAAAAAAAATAGTCTTATCTCCTGCTACCAGACTGAAAAAAAGGGTAGGTAGGTAGGAAAATTATTATTTTTATTTTTTTTTATTTTTCCCAAAGGTATTTTTTTGGAAATGAAATAATACAAGATCAAATTAAACATGTAATGGGTCTATATCGTCCTTTTAAAATTAAATATCTTGTTTTTTGATACACAACTCAAGTGGTATTTTATGAAAATCCATATTTAAACCATAGAATTTCTTGAAATACGACTTGAACGTATGTATTTTTTTAGTTTTAGGATATGAATTTGCAGAAATTCACAATTTTTTTTGTCAAAGCTAAAAAAAAAAAAAATTTAGGGTCGGGTGCAAAAAAATAGGATAGGCTGGGTAGCAGGAAACTAAACTATTTTTATTTAATGCCTAAAATGGATAAATATATAATGTTATAATGTTATTTATATGAAAATTAAAAATTGTTATAGTTCATAATAAAATTAAACTACCGGTAGATCAAAACTTATACATGTATATGACTCAGAATAAACTTGACCATTTATTTTCCCAGAAACCTCATCACAATGGTTTTTTTCATGAACTCTTCTTTTCTTCTGTACCCGTAGGTTATGGGGCACTTCATCATGCTGCTGCCTGGGGAAAAGTCAACTTACTGAAGGTATTAGTTGATTCATTAGCAGATTTACAACTAAAGACAGCTCATGGGGAAAGAGCCAGGGAAACTGCATTAAGATATAACCAAACAGAATGTGTGGATTTCTTAGACTGGGCAGGTAAATGTGTTTATCATCATATTTATAATCTTGGAGACCTCATATAGAATTGGATCAATTCAGTTAATAAATTGTGATGTTAAAGTTGATAACTTAAATCTTTTAGCATAAAAAATCAGGACCCAAAATATGCAAATACTTCTTAAACTAAGATATAATAGGTTATTCAGATAAAAAAAAAATTTTAAAATATTTTTTTATCTTTGAATACAGAAGCCAAGTCAGAACTACTGGAGGCAATCAGGGGGCATCAGGAATTTTTAACAGATCCAGAGAAAAACCAGGGTCGACTCACTAAAGAAGACAAGGTATAACAAATCAAACTACAGTGTAATAGCCATAGAATCTCTTATTTTCACCGTAAAGTAATATCAAGTGATATATGCAGTTGAATTTTTTCAAATATCCTGAATAGGTTAAAGTAAGATGTTTTTCCTAAACCACCATTCTTTTCTGTATTTTAATCTTGATATCTTCAGTTTTTGTGTGGTCCCATTAAGTTTAAGATAATGAGGTTTAGGTTTCTTCATTCAGCAGTTTGCCTTCTATGAAAGATCATTATAGATTTTTAAAGCAATCTTACTACTCTTACAGAATATCATTACCAATTCATGCAAAGAAAAAACTGAATGGGTGGAGAATACCTCAGATGCCACCACTCAGGATTTTATCACACAGCGACAGAACTTGGATGAAATAATTACACCTATTATACAGAAACTGAATGAACCAAGTAAGGCAATCTTAGAAATGTTTTGCATCTCAAAATCTGAATTTGAAAAAGAAAAAAAAACAAAGTATTTAATTCATATACACGTACATGTAGTCCTTTGTTTTCTGCATTAAGATCTGAATTTGATATGATGTTATTTGTTTATATATTGGATGACCAATATTGAAAAGGCTGGCAGGGTTACATTGTTCTTTTTCTGTTTTCAACAATTTATTTGGATGATAGACATATTTAAGTAATGAGACAAAAGGTCTGATATAAATATATGTTTGCATGGTCCTGTCAAGTACTTAAGATTTAAACACTTTTGAAAGGAAAAAGAATAGGGAAGGAGCCATGAATACTGAAAGTTTTCTCCCTTTGTACAAGGTCACATTCAATCATCATAAAAGATAGGTCCACCCCTAAAACTAAATATATGTCAAGGTCACAAATACTTGGAGCTCAGAGAATTAATTTTTTTATTTTGGTCACCACTGGAATGTTTTATCACTGGAGCATTATTTACTGTGTAAATCTACTTTATAAAACAATGTTTAATACAATATTTAAAAATATTTTAACAGTTGAAACAGTGAGTATACAATAAAATTGTGTGCATGTGTGTGTTCCCTTAGTACCCAACTAAAAAAGTTTTAAATTCACCCACAATCTGTGCCATTTGGTCATGATTAATAACACACCCAAATGTTTGCTGTGATTTGAAGCATGATTTTAGATTTTCTTTTTTTTTTCTATTTGGCAAGATTTGTCAGTGAAAGTATGTGAATAACAAATCATAAACATAGTAGGTTTCCACTCATTATCACATGCAGCATCTAATGCCACTAAATAACTATTACAATTGTACATTTCTATGTAAATGCCATGTAATTTTAAAAGTTTTTCAAAGTATTTACTTTTCAGTCTCATTACATTGTTTTATACTTTTATGCGCCCGGATCGATAGATCCAAGGCATATATTGTTTTTGTCCTGTCTGTTTGTCTGTCTGTCTGTTGTCAACTTTAACCTTCGCCATAACTTTTGAACCATGAGAGATAGAGACTTCATATTTGGGTTTGACCAATGAAGCTCCAAATGGCACCAGGTTGATCACTTGACTGTGACCTATATGCTAAAAATAGCTAATGCCATAACTGAATAACATAATTGATATTACTCCACTAATAAAGCTCTTTCAAATGGCATTTCATGATGTAATGACATGTAAAAATATTTTAAAACTTTTTTTTCATAAGTACTTCACTAATAAAGTTATAAAGTTCTTTTCTGACACCAAGGTGATGACCTTGTGGCCTTGACTGTACATTAGTTTTTTTTAACATTTTTTTCCTTCTGAATTTTCCATAAAAAAGATATTTATTGAATGAAGATATACTTTTCACAATTTATATATTTGTATCATAAACATGTACAATGCATTATATTTATACTGAGTATTGCTTACTTATATTTTTGCGATTAATGACTCGGTATTGAGTGGTATGAATCATAATTCCAAAAAGTGGGAATTATTTTTAATTTAAAAAAATAGCAAGATAAAAATACATGTATTAATGTCCCACATAAGTTAATATACTCATAATATTTCTCATTCCTGTTTCAGCCCCAGAAAAACCAGAAAAAAGGTAAATAAGGGGAGGAATGTGGAGAAGAACAGCTGTGAGGACTGTGTTGTGTTTTGTTCAACTGTGATAAATTCATGTACTAAATTTATATATACAAATAAATTCTTATATAGTTTTCAATGTTTTTTTTATCTATATTGCACAATGGGGACTTACTGAAAACATTTTTACATCACTAAGGTAAACTAAGAGACTAAAAGACTTATGTTGAAATCGTGTCACAAATGGTGCCCTGCAGACAATAGCTTTATACCATATATGTGGAAATTTTAGTGAGATGCAAATTGAGCAATTTCTTAAACAAAAAAAAAAAAAAGGTAATTTATTTTAAGGGGGCAGACTGGGGTTTTATTGTGTGAAAACTACAATAGCGAAATTCTTCATTTTTATACCATATATAACTTACATTAACTTCAGTGTACATACCAAGTTTGGGGGAAATCTACCGTCCAGGTATTTTTAAGGGACTGTCTCAAAATATAGGCACATTTACTATAGGATTATAAGAGGAAAATGCCAAGTTTTAGCACTTTAAAGCAAATTATACAAATACTACAATAGACTTTTTGTTCAAACTATAATATATGATGAGTAATAGTATATTATACATTATATGTATGAAACACAAAATTCTACCGTCTTGTTACCAGAAGGGGCATCTCAAAATGCCAAAAATTAACGAATTTTCCTGTTTTTAAAGAGTACTGCAAAATATGACAGACACAAAGGATTTATATGAAAACATGATAAAAATAATGAAGATATTCTCAAATGTTTATGTTTTAAATTTTAAGAGTGTATGTTTATTACTTTTTCTTTAATAGCATTTTCATTACCCCTTTCTTCAAGAGCTTCAGTTGATCATCGCGTCAAAAACACACTGTATCGACGTCAACCTACCTATTAATTGCAAAATCGGTTAAAACAAGTGATGTTTGTAAAACACTTATGCCCCCTCCCCCCCAAATTGGAATTTTTCAAAGTCCAAAAGGGCATAACTCTGTTCAAAATAGCGAGATCATACCCAAAACAGAACTTGACCTAGATATTCATCTGATAAATCTGTATACTAAATTTCATTTCAGTATGTGCAACCTCTGCAAAGAAAATGAACGGAAACTGCAAACAAATGGAATTTTTCTAACTCTAAGGGGAATAACTCTGTCAAAAATGGTGCAACCGTACCCAAAACAGAACTTGACCTAGATATTCATCTGATATATCTGTATACTAAATTTATATTAAGGGATTATATTTTGTGGGGGTTTGGTACGTTTTAAAAGTATTAGGGATGTACAGTGCATATTAACTGATTTAATATTGTGTATCTTAATTGTCTTATTTCAAACATGATTAATTAACAGAAAATGAAAATGCTGTTCTTTTGTTAATAAAGATATTTTAATGACAAAAATTAGCATACATTAAATCTTAGTTCAAAATATAAAATGCCCATTCTAACAAACAAAGAAAACAAAAAATCTTATAAAGTTAAAACTGATAAACTTAAAACACCATTCAATGTGAATAATGATATTAAACCATGGACTTTTTATAACAAAATTCCCAGACCAGTGATGTTATGCTTGATTAAGTACATTTTTTTTTATGTATAGAAGTTAAAAAACTTGCTGGCATAAAATATTGAGGATGAGTAATCATATCCCTGACAAAAAATCTGTGTAATGATTGTAAAACATCTCAACAAAAATGATGATAAGACAAGGAAAAAATCCTTTGTTTCTTGAGCAAAAAATGAAACAGGTAAGGGTTTTTAATGCAAGAGTTGTCTTTCTTAGACTACTTTTTTTTTTACAATATAAAGGGGAATAATTCAATTTTTTCCAACTTCAAATGCAAAGTTTTAAGTTATCTCCCTTCTCAATATTTCTCTACGGCAGAAATAGGTGGTGCCCGAGATTCTACTAATGTACAGTGTATTATTACCCCCTGGGTATATTTTTTTGCCATAAATGACCAGTCTGAATATAATGGCTCAAGGACTAGTATGAATTCCATAAAATTTGATCACAAGAAAGCCATTGATATTATATAAGATATCACACAATAAAATCTTCACACACTTTTTCTCCCTCAATAATCCTTTCAAATGAGAATCTACTTAGGTCCACAGATTTGTACTTTCGCTTCAACAGCATTTCACTGATGGCGTTTCCAATACAGACTGACTGCTGAAGGCCGTGTCCACTCATTCCATTGGCAAAATAAAAGTTTGGTATCATTGGATGTGGTCCTATAATCAGATTTTGGTCCCAGAGGTTGTAGTCATAGAAACCTGCCCAAGCACTTTTTAACTGAAATAAGATAAATAGACAAAAATTTACTCCATATTCATCATCTTAATTTCCATATAATGACTACCCATTCAAAAAGAAATCAATGTGTAATGTATGCCAAAATGGACAACATAATTACAGTGCTATTTTTTTTTTTAGTTTATTAATAAATCAGTAACATACTACAGAGACATTTATTAACCCCCTTTTGCAATGCATTAATAAATGTTTCTAAAGGAACTCATACTGTATTATATCTGATAAATACACTGTTATTGAAACAGTCAATTTAAATAAAAATTAATTCATTTTACAGGTGTAATAAACCTTTTCTTTCTTTTTTTGGCCCTCAACACTTTCTATAAACAAATGGGTTGGGGAATGGCTTTTCTTTAAAGATAAATTATGTTTTTAATTTACTGAAAATCCTGATAGAATTGAAAGATACATTGACTTCTGTATTCTGTTTATCTAATAATAATTTATTTCTTTTCTCATTTTCTGTATGTACAGTTGTGGAATATTTGCCATACTTGCCTTGATATTTTCAAATGCTGGAATTCGGTGAGCTAATCTAGGCCATATTTTTTCATTGAAGAAGTCATAGTCAACATCCATATTATCAATAGATGGTTCCTCGGCCTGAAATATTATCAATCACCATTTGCATTTATCAGAGAGTGTGGTGCTTACAAAGTTACTACATACTGAATTTTTCTAAGGTGTAGAAATTACATGTGTAGCAATCTTTCAAGCTACAAAAGTAAAAAAAAAAAAAAACTTCTGTCCCTGACACACCCCTTGTTAATCACAAATATTTTGAAAGTTTACTTTCAACCTGATTAAAATCAGCTGTTCTGATCAGAACAGCTGATTTTAATCATCATACAAGTAATATGCTTGTAACAATGATATCTAATGGTCTGTTGAATTTGGACACCTGAAAAGGTGTTCTCCTCACAGTCTGATTAAAGCCAGACCTTACTCTTTGACTTCACCGTATGTACATGTGTACATACAACGAAGTGAAATACCGGTAGTAGGATCTGGCTTAGTCAAACCGTTTACCTCAAAGAAAGGCACTACCAGACATACCTCTGATTCTGGAGATGCCCCACATATATACATGCCTCCCAGCCCCTCCCTCCGGAAGTATGTCCCTGTCGTGTCTACAGTTAGAGGTGTACTGATACCAGGGCCATTAGGACAGTGAAAGACGTACACAAACCTCTTCCTGTAAATCAATAATATTTACTATCAATCATCTGAAATCTATTTAGTTATTTACATAGCACAATATGAGTAGGGACAGATACATGGTACAGCTGTACAAGTATCAAAGTGTCAATAATTGAAGAGAACTTTTGCCAGAACAGTTGAGAACAGTTGTCATGCTACACATGGATATAGCAATGTAACAAATATTTTATCATAAATTCCTCAAAGGAGGTAAGGTACCTTTAATAGATAGAATGTTAACCTTCCTTGTTAAGGCAAAGGGATAAAAGACATCTTTACATTGCATGTATTAAAGGTAAAATAATGCATAGAAAAATTATCTTGGTATTACAGGTAAGACAATGTACATGATTTTGTCTTGATTGTAAGGATGGTTCTTCATTACAGGGTTTACCTTGGTTGTACAGGTGAGGACAGAATGTTAACCTTGGTTGTACAGGTGAGTATAGAATGTTTACCTTGGTTGAACAGGTGAGTATAGAATAGAGAGGTTTAGTAACAAGTGACGTAACAACATGTACGCGTAACATTGATGTACACGTTCTATTTGACGTCAACGTCAATAACATGATTTAGTTATACGTACTCGTGTACGTATGCAAATTTCGTGATTGAACAGTAAATAAATTGAACGGCATTGTATCTATTATTTTTAATTTAGACAAATCAATGGTGAGATGGAATTTATACTTACTCTTGTCATAAATATCATAAACTATGAAAAATTATCATATATATTGTCATCTCAATGAAGTGAATCGCTCTAAATATTTTGTCAACTAGTATCTCTACAGGACAATTAAGCTTTTAATTCTGCATCACTTTAAAAATGGAAGCAATCATAAAAATTATTTAATTGATGATAAAAAACGACCAGATTTCACACTTTGTGGAGGATCAAGGGGGGGGGGGGGGGCAAAAGAAAACCTTTTGAAAATGATTAAATGTGAAGGCTCAGTCATAATAATGTCTAGAAAGGAGGCATGGAATAAAGTTTAATACATCAATACCTTGTTAAAACCAAAATCAGACACCGCCCCCCTTTTTTAAATACGCATCTGCTCTAGTTCTTTACAAGTGATAGTACAAAAGAAAAAAAAATAGTTAATGAAATACAATCTCAACAAGCACAACAAGCACTTGACGTTACACATAGGCCTACTACCTATAACTTATTAGGCCAGGGGTTATATTTTTTGTTATGTCACTAGTGCCAGTGGATGTTATATAATAGTTCTAAAATATTTTATTATAAAAAAAAATAAAGAATATAGAGGTGTTAAAATAGGTTTTAATAAAAATAACAGAAAGGGAAAAATCACCAAGAAACCATGAATTTATATTTGGTGCATTGGCGGGCCAGGTCTTCTTCAAATGAATCCTGCGTACAAAATAAACATGCTGTTTGGTATCAGTTTGAGTTTAACTTTTCATTGATGAAAATTACTTTGATGGAATCATCGAACCATCATTCATTAATTTTTTTAGATAGACTAGTGTTCTTGTTTTAGTGCACAAAAATCAATCAACTGCATCAAAAAATAAAGAATTTAATCCATAACTTCACCCATTTACGTCTTACGTGTAAACAGTGTATTACACGTTCTAGACTTGTAGCTACACGTCGGATTTGACATCATGACGTCTGAGAACACAACAATTGATGACGTCACCCGTTCAAGTTTGTCGCATAACATGTAACTAAACCTCCCTAATGTTTATCTTGGTTGTACAGGTGAGGATAGAATGTTTACCGTGGTTGTACAGGTGAGGATAGAACGTTTACCTTGGTTGTACAGGTGAGGCTAGAATGTTTACCTTGGTTGTACAGGTGAGGATAGAATGTTTACCTTGGTTGTACAGGTGAGGATAGAATGTCTACCTCGGTTGTACAGGTGAGTATAGAATGTTTATCTTGGTTGAACAGGTGAGTATAGAATGTTTATCTTGGTTGTACAGGTGAGGATAGAATATTTATCTTGGTTGTACAGGTGAGGATAGAATGTTTACCTTGGCTGTTCAGGTGAGGATAGAATGTTTACCTTGGTTGTACAGGTGAGTATAGAATGTTTACCTTGGTTGTACAGGTGAGTACAGAATGTTTATCTTGGTTGTACAGGTAAGGATAGAATGTCTACCTTGGTTGTACAGGTGAGTACAGAATGTTTATCTTGGTTGTACAGGTAAGGATAGAATGTCTACCTTGGTTGTACAGGTGAGTACAGAATGTTTATCTTGGTTGTACAGGTAAGGATAGAATGTTTACCTCCGATGTACAGGTGAGGATAGAATGTTTACCTTGGTTGTACAGGTGAGGATAGAATATTTACCTTGGTTGTACAGGTGAGTACAGAATGTTTATCTTGGTTGTACAGGTAAGGATAGAATGATGACCTTGGTTGTACAGGTGAGTACAGAATGTTTACCTTGGTTGTACAGGTGAGGATAGAATGTTTATCTTGGTTGTACAGGTGAGTACAGAATGTTTATCTTGGTTGTACAGGTGAGTACAGAATGTTTATCTTGGTTGTACAGGTGAGTACAGAATGTTTATCTTGGTTGTACAGGTGAGTACAGAATGTTTATCTTGGTTGTACAGGTGAGTACAGAATGTTTATCTTGGTTGTACAGGTGAGTACAGAATGTTTATCTTGGTTGTACAGGTGAGTACAGAATGTTTATCTTGGTTGTACAGGTGAGGATAGAATGTTTACCTTGGTTGTACAGGTGAGTATAGAATGTTTATCTTGGTTGTACAGGTGAGTACAGAATGTTTATCTTGGTTGTACAGGTGAGGATAGAATGATGACCTTGGTTATACAGGTGAGGACAGAATGTTAACCTTGGTTGTACAGGTGAGGACAGAATGTTAACCTTGGTTGTACAGGTGAGGATAGAATGATGACCTTGGTTATACAGGTGAGTACAGAATGTTTACCTTGGTTGTACAGGTGAGGACAGAATGTTAACCTTGGTTGTACAGGTGAGGATAGAATGTTTATTTTGGTTGTACAGGTGAGGATAGAATGTTTACCTTGGTTGTACAGGTGAGGATAGAATGCTTACCTTGGTTGTACAGGTGAGGATAGAATGTTTACCTTGGTTGTACAGGTGAGGATAGAATGTTAACCTTGGTTGTACAGGTGAGTATAGAATGGTTACCTTGGTTGTACAGGTGATAATTACAGTTTTACCTTGGTCGTACAGGTAAGGGGATGGACAGAAGCCCCTGTTCTGTACCAACTCCTGCCATCTCTGCTACTTCTGCTGCCCAGGGTCCAGCACAATTCACCACCTGACCACATGTTGTCTCATACATTGCACCATCTGCATCCTTTGACTGCCATAGAAGAACAGAATGAAAACTTCTACTATTAAAATTACAAAATAACATTTCTTACTAAAGGATTGGAAATAAACATTCAGCATCTTCTAGGTTGTTGTTGACTTTAGAGGGATATCAGTTTAAATAAAAGCTCAAATTTATAATTCTGTAAACAAGTAGTATGAAGTCTTAGTTTATTACAGAAGACACTTGTATAATTTAAATACATGTAAACTTTTCAACTCGAGAAAGAAAGCATATAAGAAAGAAAGGTCAGACTCACGATTATGGAGGCTAACATGTAGCGATCTGAGACTCCCTTTTTATCATACTTCTTAGTAAATCCCACAACTTCAGCATCAACATACTGGACACCCAGACTTAAATTCTTCCTCTTTAGAGCAGCCAAGAGAGAATGGGGGTCAAACCACCCTTCTCCATGTAAACCTGCATAAAGGCGAAATACTGTAATTGTATTTCATCTGGCCTACACAATATTTGGTGGATTTTTTTAAAAGTCAGTGTAGATATAACATTCAAAATGCACATTATTTGAATACTTAGAAATATATACACACATGGCAATAAGCAATGCACTTAATTAATAAATATCCATTGGGGTATGTCTAACATTCGTTGATCAGAGCAGCTCACTTTAGTTTCTAGTTGATAAACTAAAACCACATCTTCTACCCACAAATTTCTTGTTGATTTGAAAGATTATTTTTATATTGAACAAGTGTTAGGTACAGAAAAACTCTGTTATAATGAAGTTACTGGGACCTGTTAAATTAATTCACTATATCTGTAATTCATTATATCCGTATAAGAAATTTCATATTATTTTCAGTTGGGGATCAAAGAAAACTTCACTATATCCGTGAATTCGCAATATCCCTGTTTGTACTAAACAAGTTTTACTGTATTGTCCCAAACACAGTGACTTTCTGATTATACCTAAAGAACCCACTTCTATTCCATCAAGATTCAACCACGGAAACCTTTCTTTGAGCATGCCTGCTGAAAAGAGCTCAACCTCTGCACCTAAATACCTGAAAAAATAAAACAAACCAATAACATCATAATATGTTTTTACACCATTATTGAGAAACTCAAACTTGATTGGATTATAAGAAAGCCAATTAAACTTAATCATATATGACCGCAAAAAATACTGTTTACAGCAATTTCATTTATATATCCAAGATCTAGGATATATTGGGTGTTATATGATGACCGAGATATTAACAATATCGACTGGTAAATAAGAAACTGTTAATTAAAAATTCATTCAAATTAAACTTAATTACTTTCTGCAAAGAATAGTAACAATATGGTTAAAAACATGCCATTAGAAACTGTGCTTTGTATGTTTATTTTACAGAATAATGTAGATCTTGGCATCATAATATCTATCATTTATTTATTACAAATTTCACTGTACCACAGAAGTGTAAATTGTTAATTAATAACAATGCATGTTACTGAAAATGAAAGTATTTTTAATAAATCAGTTGAAACCTTGCAAAAACTTGAAACTAAGTTAAAAGACTACAGACAAAAAAATAAACCAGAAGTCTCTGTTGAGACTGAAGCTCTACTGGTTTGTACTTATAGCAAAAGAAGAGAAAAGTACTTTGGAACTTTACAACAGCAATAAATAGAATAAATCCTTGATAAAGTCTCTTTATGTTCTTAGTGTAGTCTACTTGTGTGACAAGTTATATTGAAATCAGACCAAAACTGTAGGAGGAATAGCATTTTGAAACAATTTTACAGAAATTTCTATTTTTAGTAACCATGGCAACACGTTCATCGAAATCAAAAACCGATACACAGAATTATGTATCTTAGTGTTGTCTACTTGTGTGCCAAGTTATATTGAAATCAGACCAAAACTGTAGGAGGAGTAACATTTTGAAAGAATTTTACAGAAATTTCTATTTTTAGTAACCACAGTAACACCGTTCATCAAAATCAAAAACCGATAAACAGAATTATGTATCTTAGTGTAGTCTACTTGTGTGCCAAGTAATATTGAAATCAGACCAAAACTGTAGGAGGAGTAGCATTTTGAAATAATTTCACAGAAATTTCTATTTTTAGTAACCACGGCAACACCGTTTATCGAAATCAAAAACCTATAAAGAGAATTATGTATCTTAGTGTTGTCTACTTGTGTGCCAAGTTATATTGAAACCAGACCAAAACTGTAGGAGGAGTAGCATTTTGAAAAGAAATTTCAGAGAAATTTCTATTTTTAGTAACCATGGCAACACCGTTTATCGAAATCAAAAACCGATATACAGAATTATGTATCTTAGTGTAGTCTACTTGTGTGCTTAGTTAAATTGAAATCAGACCAAAACTGTAGGAGAAGTAGCATTTTGAAAAATTGTTTACAGACAGACAGACAGCTAGACAGCCGGACGGACGCCACGACACATAAGCTCTTCTGGTCTCTGACCAGTAAAGCTCATTTGCCAGATTTTGACCTTGATCAAGGTATATTGGTAATAACAAAAAACTCATCGTATCAAAAACATTTCTTTCATGCTTTTCAAATTGGTTTTAACTAAACTATAATAAATGATCTGGGTACATCCCACTAATTATTTTTAGAATCGGTAGGAGAGGAAAGTAGTGCAGAAAAAATTACAAGTTCCTTAATTTGCAGACTTGCATAAAAAAGATTGTGCAGATGTACTGAACTGAGCCTCACACTTGTTGATAAGGAGTATCTTTCCTACCAAAAAAGTTTGGCAAATGTAATTTATCAAGAAGATCAGCCAAATTATTTTGTGCATTATAACGCCAGTGAGAACTCTGAAATTCCCATACTTTCACTTTCATTTTTAGAGGTTCCCGCAGAGTGGCGCAGACAGATGCATTTTGCCGGAAAACGAATCTGACATGCCACCTTGAGATTTTAACCAAGGAAAGACAAGTTGACGTGCTTTGATTTGAGGGGTCACTCACCTCTGAACGAAAATTAGAGACATCGCTATGAGAAGAAATGTTAACATTGTCGCCTATGGGAAAACAATTAGTGGACTGTACCCATCTTTCAAATGTGAATTAAGCTTTATTGTATTAAGGTTGTGAATTCCATACTCAGTGATTGAAGTCAGTTTTAGAAAAAAAAATCATCCACAATTCTAAAAATTAGAACAAAAAAAAAACTGTTTCATCTAATATCAATATAACAAAACATGATACATGTAATTACCCCTTATGAGGTCAACGCTATCCCTTTTGCTCTCAACATGGCAAAAAAAATGTCCCTTGACCTCTCACTTAACTGACCTGACCTTTCACCATGTTGACCTCATAAGAGGTAATAAATTATTAGTTAAAATAATCTTAAGTCTTAGGACAAGCCCTCAATGGGTCAATGGGACAATATTGTTTTAACGATAGAACATAAAATTTAATAAATCATGTATAAATACTGCTTAAATTGTGGATTAACTTTGGTTTGAAAATATGTACCAGTAAGAAAAATGACCAGGGTAACAACAATATATCCAAACTTTCTTTAGAAAATGCAGGTATAATAACTCTCTTTTCGCCAAAACTACATGTAAATATTACTTTTGCATCTTCACTAGTTCAGCCAATTTTGCAGATTTCTCTCGAGGTGCTAGGAACAAGTAACCATGGTGATTAAACTGCACATCAGGAGGTGCCTCATCTATATAAAAAAAATAGAGAGTAGTTTCTCTTCTCTCCAAAACTAATTTTAGAAGAAAATAATTTCAAAAATGTAACCTTTTTGGAGTTAAAATGATCATAATATACAAAATGGACTATTTAGCATTATGAAATCACTTATTATTCCTTTTTTACAAGTCATATTGCAATATTTTTAACAGAAATTTTATATATAATGTACATATAATATTTTTTGGGGAAATACACAGTGTTCAGATGCTTTACCTAACTCTCCTAAAAAGAATTTGATGTTTCTGAGAAAGTCTGTGGTAAACATGGACATCTGGACATTTTCTGGTACACTAAACTGGTGCCTTATTCCTCCAGCTGATAGCGAGGAGGAAGCTCTTGTGTACTGAAAAAAAAGATAAGCACTATGCAGAACAATTTTAGCCAAACAAAGTCTTTTTAACCATTTTTTAACAAAAAAAAGATTAGGTTAATCATATTTCAATATTTTCATTTTGTGTAATATAAATTTCCTCATTGGAAATCCTCAGTCTGTCTCCCTTCTCTTACAAAAAAGCAAGATCCACCCTTGGTTTCAGGCGATGTTTAAACTTAGAATACAGAATCAAGAAGCAAGTATACTCTGTTTCCCCCTTTGTTTTTATTTATCTTATGAATAAATTCTAGATCCCCTTTTAGCTTGCATTACAATCTTACCATGGGATCTTTTTCTATGACAACAATACTGTGTTCATTTTTCTTTTGTTTGTGTGCAGTGAAGAAGGCCGCTGCAGACCCCACCAATCCTCCTCCAACGATAGCCACATTGGTCGTCCGCGGAATGTCCTGCTTTGAGGAGAGGACTCTGGATATGGAATCTTTGAGAACTTTACCCAGGTCCCTGTAAAAAACAATAAAGTTATAAAGTAAAGATAATAATACACATTTACTTTAATTACTAAATTAAATCTCAACAAGCGCACTGCAAAACAAAGCATCCCCTTGTAATGAACACATCTATAAATCAAGGCAGCATTTGACATATTCAATCCCAAAGCAAATTAAGTCACTTTCATTTCACACAATACACAATTTACGAGTAACCCACACAGACCAGATACTTGAACCTTATTTTGATGCTGAGAAAGGAAAATAAATAACAGCACCAAAATGCCAAGGGTATTATTTTCCACAGCCTTTTATCTTACAAGTTTCTTTTCTTTGGATAGAGAGTCTTTGATAAGAGATATAATGATCTTTACTATGACAAATTGAATTGACCATTGTCACCACGACATTGTGCAGCCATTTCTTCTGTGTTTGTGACATACAGCTGCATCCTGATCCCAACCTTTTTAAAATCTGTGTCACATTGATATTTTCAGTCATTTGGACCACAGTTTTTTAAAAATCATTGATCCAGACAAATTTTTACCATCCTTGCCGATAAGGCCAATGGATTTTGACAAGTCTGCACATTTTAAAAAAAAAATTTGGCATATACCTTGGTTTTCCACCTCCAGGCCGGATTTTTTCATTGCCCTCTTCATCATAAATGTAATCATCTTCATATGAATTGCCACCATTTCCCTTCTTATTATCAGAGAGGGATCGGACCCCAGTGACTGATGCGGAGGGATGTTTCTGTGCTAAGATTGACCTGAATTGTCTGCATAAGTGACAGGTCAACAGCTTTCTGTGATTTAGCCTCATTACGATCTCTGAAATTAGATCGAGTTACATTCAAATTTTGATTATCTTAACAGAGAAATAAAACAAAAATATATAAATAAAACATAATAGTGAGCGCAGCGAGGTGGCGTGAAGCACTGCTCGTGTAGCGAGCACAATAGACTAATGTGTACGAACAGAGGAAATTTGGGTTGAAATCTGCACATTGTTCCAAGAAATTTTTATGAGTCCACGTGAAAAGATTCCAAACTCCCAATAATCCTTTGCGGTGCATAACAACATGATAGTTTAAACATGTTAAACATAGCAACAACTTACTTATTAATAACAAAATTACAAACAACGATTTAAGGGGAGACAGGGAACATGTCACATGACTAAAAAGACATATTACATCATAATCGGTGATGATATACATCTTAAACGTTGTTAAAATCAACAGTTATTGTGTAATTTTCTTCCAAATTCTAAAATTGTTTTCAAAACATTTAATTTTAGAAATTATTATTAATAAACTTTTTAAAGATCTTGCCATCATTTAGAAATTGTGAAGTTGCCCAGTCCACACATTGGTTTCTCTTTACCCTGCAATCTGACGTCAGTGACGTCATAGACGTAGTGTTTGAATTGTCAGTGCAGCGAGATCAAGTACACACACCCGTCATGATCAGTTTTATTTCATAATAAACAGCTAGGTCACAGTCAATGTATCATGATACATTTCTGAAGCAGATTTTTTTAATTAATATTTTTTCGTGTTTAGTAGCAGAGATTCTCTCTATTTAGATAATTTTGAATGTTTATGTTTTCGTGTGACATCACAATTGATTTCCCGCACTTGGAAAATACAAACGTGAAGCGTTTTTATCATGCTTACGTCTAATTCAACGATGTCCTGTGCGATATTGAGGTAAGCTTCACCCTGTGATATTTATGCAGTGAATAATTACGATGAAGGACTGACATTCAATCGTAAATTTAGAAATATTTATTGACAGAATTTTTTCCAAATGAGGTTTTGGTCGTTGAAGCTGATTGAAAAATAAGAAATTATCCCACCCAAATACTATATAAAATTGAAACAATTGCTTTCAGATAATTTAAACACTATGAATATTCTGAAATATTTGAGTATATAGTGTTATCTATCACATTTATCGTTTGGGCGTAAAAATTTGCATTATGGACTCCGTTATGGGCCCGTAAACATGAAGTATCTAAACTCCATACAAACTCTAAACAGGGCGGTATTTGTGGGGCGATATCTTTTACATAAGTCAAGAAATCCCAGGACAGGACCGTTTTAAAATGTTAAGTACATATTAAATCAGTAATATAAAAAATACGAAAAAATTCATTGACAGGAATTTTTTCAGGTAAAGGTCCTGTTCCTCTTTAATGCAATCTCCATGCCACAAAACTATCGTTTGCGATATCCTACATCCAAAGGCAACAGGACCATATTTGACATCATACTTTCGTCACTTACACGGCTTGTGTATTTCCAATTTTGTCGGAAACTTCCGAGAATTTCAGAATCTCCAGCCCAATGCCTGGGAATTGATTTCTTTTTCTTATTGATATGTCTCTTATTTTTAATGAACTGAGGATAGACCATGTAGACAGTGCAAGTAAAATTTGTGTATAGGTTTTTGAGAGTAAATTACTGCGCTCGCCCCAATGGTCACACTGTAAAACATATTAGCATGGATATAAAGGCAAAATTGACAAATGACAAGGAGTTTATTGCAATGTACACACTTAATAGAGTAGAAAAGGAGTTCCTATTAGGCTTAACACTAACCAGCTGCTAACAGAGAAGGCCAAAAAATTACATTAAAGTGGTAAGAAATGCATTTAAAAGCAGTCTGATTAATTGTCTACTAATTTAGATTTAGCTAGCAAAGATAATACTGTACCATTTACAACTTGACAGTGTTTTTTAATCGTATTAAATTCTTAAAGTAGTAAAAGTTTTTCGCAGGTGTTTGTTTGTTTTTCATGTAGGAAACTTACTAGGCACACTAAATGACGGAATCCAAAACAACACACCATTGAGATATTCCGGAAAAACACCCCGAAGAGCAGTTCAGCCTGGATCTAATTAAAAGCGACTCGAAATATTTTATTCAAGATTTATTCAAGATTAAAGCATATTACAAAAAAAATGAAAACAAAACTCTGACAGACATCTGATGTGATATCCTCACTCCATATAATCATTTAAGTCAAACTGAAAATCTTGCTCTGGTAGGAACAATATCATGGAAAATAAGGATAAAAGGGGTTAATTTCAATCTTATTAATAATATACTATTTTAAATAAAATTTAAGCCCTTGTACACTGTACAGTGAATAGTTTTCTATCCAATGGCAACATGTTGGCAAATCCCTAGCATTTCGAGCATGCATGAAGATTCTGAGTCATGCAAATCTGTTCGTCTGTTAATTTACCCGCAAAATCTGTTACCAACTTTATGTTTCTGTAAGGTTTACAGCGTACTTTCGGGGGGGGGGGACGATTTGGGGGGGGGGGCGTTGCCCCCCTCCCACTTTTAATACCGTTGCTTGTAAATTCCGACCTGTAATGCTTATGATGTCAATTAAAATATATCAATATATAGCATTTTTTGTAAACGCAATTATACATATTTTTATCTATTTACTTATTTATTTATTTATCTATCTATTTATTTATTTACATGCATTAATTCATTCACTCATTAAATTTTTCATTTATTGTTTCTTCGTTTCTTTCTTTCTTTTTTCGTTTTTTTCTTTCTTTCAAAAATGATATTTTGTGATGGTTATCAGGAAATTTTTCCAGGGGGGGGGATTCCACCCCAGTCAATAAACCCATCCCCAGAAATTTTTGACAACTAAGCAACGTTAAAAAAAATACAAAATAATAGAAACCCTGATAACTACTTTCCTAAAAGTAGAAAACCTATTTCGTTGGGAGGTGGGGTGTGGGGTGTGGGTGGGTATGTATAAAGCTTCATATCTTTGACTTTTCATTACAACTCAATACAAATCTGTGTTTTCAAAGGAGGGTCATCTTTTTCGGGGGGGGGGGGGGCACGTGCACTTTTCAAGGGGGGGGGGGCTCTAGATCCACGCATGGTTAAACGTTACCAAGGCTCGGTATCGGACAGTATAGAGATGCTTTTTGTCCCCCGCCTTTGCGAAAGCGAGGGGACATTAAATCTCATTCATCTGACCGTCTCTCCATTCGTCCGTCAGCAGCAGTTTGTCCGTCCGTCACAAAAACTTTAACTTTGCCCATAACTTTTGATTTAGTGGAGCTATGACTTTTATTTCAAATGTGTATTCGTTGTTGTCTTTCTTTCGGAGTTAAAATTTTAGTACAAAATTATTTAATATCAGTTGGGGTTTGTTCATACGGTGGTATATTTAGGACACGCAATTCTTTTTTTTTTAAATACCAGAAAAAAATTATCTTGTGAAAACGACATAATTATCTTGTGAAAACGAGATATTATCTTGTGAAAACGACTTATTATCTTGTGAAAATACCTAAATCTGGTGAAAACGAATAATATCTTGTGAAAACGAAAATTATCTTGTGAAAACAGATAATATCTTGTGAAAACGACTTATTAACTTGTAATATTTAAATGAAAACAATTAATATATGCAAAACAATGTATGCTGTGAATAATAGTTTGAAAACATGATATATGAAAACTGATGACATTATTTAAGTGAAAACAACTTATTATCTTGGAAAATGACATATTATCTTGTGAAAACGAGATATTATATTATGTCGTTTTCACAAAGTTTATATGTTTTCACAATATTATGTCGTTTTCACAAGTTAATATGATTTTCACAAGATAATATCTCGTTTTCACAAGATAATTATCTCGTTTTCACAAGATATTATTGTTTTCACCGTTTAATATCTCGTTTTCTTAATTTCGTTTTCACAAGATCTTATCTCGTTTTCACAAGATATTATTTCTTTTCACAAGATATTATCTCGTTTTATATATTATCGTTTTCATAAATTATCCGTTTTCACAAGTAATTATCTTTATCACTAATTATTCGTTTTACAGGATAATATCTCGTTTTCAAAGTAAAATTTATCCCGAAATTTCACTAGATAATAAGTCGTTTTCACGAGATAATTCCTCGTTTTCACAAGATAATATCTCGTTTTCACAAGATAATTATCTCGTTTTCACAAGTGTATCTCGTTTTCAAAGATAATATCTCGTTTTCACAAGATTTCATTATCTACGTTTTAAGAAATAAGTCGTTTTCACAAGATATTATCTCGTTTTCACAAGATAATTTCTCGTTTTCACAAGATAATACGTTTTCACAAGATATTATCTCGTTTTCACAAGATAATATTCGTTTTCACAAGATAATTATCTCGTTTTCACAACATAATTATCTCGTTTTTCAGCAATGATAAATCTCGTTTTAGCAATTATCTCGTTTTAAATAATAAGTCATTTCACAAGATATTATCTCGTTTTCACAAGATAATTTCTCGTTTTCACAAGATAATATCTCGTTTTCACAAGACAATAAGTCGTTTTCACAAGATATTATATTATTCATAAGATAATTTCTCGTTTTCACAAGATAATATCTCGTTTTCACAAGATAATTATGTCGTTTTCACAAGATAATTTTTTTCTGGTATTTAAAAAAAATAATTGCGTGTCCTAAATATACCACCGTATGTTCAACATCAATTACAGTGCATGCATTATTAGATTTATTCAATAAAACTAAAAGCACGAACTCAAGTAAAGTGTATATATACATGTATCAACTGCGGTGAAACTGAAAATTATTTAAGTAAATATACCTCAAGGTATGGGCGAATAAATAAATGATAATAACGAATAAATTAAAACAGCTAAAATCATGACAGAAACAACTATTAACGTAATATTTATAATAAACAATTAATGATATGCAAAACAATGTATGCTTGAATTAGTTTATGATATATGACTGATGACTTTTTAAGCGTCATTCGCGGTTCTTGGCAGATAATGCGTAATGTGAGCGGTTAATCTGTATCCCAAAGTTTATATGACATCCCAGGATTTTTGGCATCTTTAAGACGATGATTGTCGTAAAACGGTAAGAATTCACACTCATATCTTTTGTTTCCCCTTTTTTATTCCCTTCTCTTAATTTTTTTTCTCTTGCTTGGTTATTTATTTCTTTCTGCCTGGGCAGCCTGTATAAATTATCGATAAATCACCGTTTTATGTTCTATATTTTATCACTGGTATTAATTAAGGATGTGATCTGTCTTTAAAGTAAAATTTATGCCCTGTATTTCTAGATCTATGATCTAAATATCGCAATACTTTAATCTAATATGAACGGGAATGTCATGTGTCAAACTTAAACTGTGTCCCTACTCAATCCACCAACAAGTGTATTTAATTAGAAAAAAAGAAGGAATTAATATTTAGGGCGGCAAAGAATTTTCTAATGTACGTGGTTTATGTAAATAAGCTGTTCTAATTGCGATTTTCGTAGGTTGTAATTGAATTAATGACGATGAATCAAGGAATGTCCCGTATGAATGTTCCTTCAGTTCTGTAATTCTTATATGTTAAACATTTTATTATCATTTTATTATCATGTTTTGTGCACCATCGTGGTAAATTTTAGCATATAATTCAATTTAAAACACCTAGGACTGACTGTCATCTATTTTGCACAAAGACTTGCTCTATATCTGATAAATGAACCAATAGAAATATAATGTATATTCATATAGGATTTCGTTCCTTTCCCTTTTTGTAATTATTAACAGTTAAATATGTCTTGAAAATAGGGGGTGGGGAGGTTATTCCGTTAGATTTGCTCTGCCCCCCCCCCCCCCCCCCCCCCCCCCCCCACACAGTGACAAGCGAAAGGTAAACATCTTTTCACCAGTCATAATTTTGGAGTACCATAAACCAATTAAATCAGTCTTCTTTATTCTAACAATATATATACAATTATCATCGTGGCAACAGCAAAATACCCAAGGGAAAGAAAGTTTGTCGTTTTTATATGCATGAATGAAAAAGTCCTTCAATGATGTTTCTTGGGTCCAAGCATCTGATCCGCTACTATCCTCACTTTGAGGGATAATGAGGGACAGAAATACTTTAGAGTACAGTTTCAGAGTAAAGTTGAACTTCGGTATCCTGTGGATACGTGTATTTTGAATACCATGAATAATACATCAAAATTACAGGTGTTTGAGGACAGCCCCCCCCCCCCCTTCTTTGATCAGACCCCGGGACTTTTAGACTTTTTTCACATAAATTATATATGGATAACACATTTGTGATATAATGCATTCTATCAATTCAGAAAATTTGCTAAAGCAAACATTTTATAAAATGTCTACCCCACTCTTTATATCTAAATTAAATTGAATAGAATATAGGGTAAATTTTAAAAAAACATTTCTTTTGTGCATTTTTTTTGAATTGTTGGGTATAGATTTTATCACAAATATTTCATTGAAAGACAATTTATGAGAAAAAAGTCGAAAAGGCCCATGGTCTATCATATCGGAAAAAAGGGGAGGGGGTCCTGTCCTCAAGTACCTGTGATCAAACTGGTTTGTAAGTCTTAAAAACCTTTTCTCTAAGTATTTTTCACTAGATATCTTTAATCATCGGAAATCTGGAAGTTTTTCTTCTCAGTCCCACTAAGTTCGAGATAACAAAGTTTGACTGTATTTTGACAAAAAATAAGGGATAAAAATTGAGCTCTGCCCCCGTTGAACAACAGCCTAGGGAACAAATGATAGTACCAACCTCTCTGTTATATGATGTAATACGCATCAGTTAATGTAAGGGGAACAGAGAGTGAGGCAGTTGAAAAAAAGGGGGCTGGTTGAGTTTGGGTAAGGGATGGGACCGACAGCTACACACACACAAAAATGATTCATTAAATCAATCATGATCATGTATATTTTTACACAAAAAGGGGGCCTGTCCCCCTTTAAATTCGCCAGAGGAGTTGGTATGACCATGATACATGTATATATTCTTATTTTGTAATTGAATTATTATGAATTTACTCAGGAAATTGTACCAATAAATACATCAGAAATGCAATTAATGATTTTATAAATTTTATTTAAAAGAATTCCGGATCCCTCGTGATTTAATACCAGCCAGATATTACTAAGACATAAACTATCTTCTCTGCTGTGATTGATCATCTCCACGTTAAATTTTTAATTTCTCGATTACTGTTTATCATTCTCATCATAAAAAAATTAAAATATCAGGCATACTAGTATTTGTTCTCTAAAGTGTGCACGTGAACACAATTATTTGATTTTTGTTTTTAGGATATACTTGCTTATAGCGCTCATCTACAGATTCATCATTGTTTGTTATACCTGTAGCTGCCAAGAAAAACATCCCCAATCAGTCATCTGTGATGCAGAATGGGGTGAGTGTAATTTTTAACACTAAAAAAACTTGTAAATATAACTTAATTTAAAAACAAAATGTGTTAGTGAAACATTATATTGATGTCCCATTCAGCAGTTTATGGCGAAGGTTCAAGTTTCTCATCTGCAAGTCAAACTCCAAGGTCTGATCATAAGTAACGATTGGCAGCCACTAAAATAAAGGTATGAACCTATGGTATATAAAGACCTTAGCAATAACCATTCAAAGGTTATGGCCAAGGTTAAGATAAAAGGGTCAAAATAGGTGTCACACAAGGGAAGCATATGTACTTATCACAAAAAGTACTCAAGTGAGAAAGCCCTTGCACTGGTCAAAGATTAAAAAGTTATAGCTTAGTTTAAAGGTTTTCAAAAGTAGGAAACTCTAAGGTCAAGATTAAAGGTTTAAAATTGTTGGTACCTCAGGAAACTCTTGTCACACGAAGTACATCTTAACAAGGAATACACCAATTAAATATGAAAGCCCTAGTTCTAACTGTTTAAAAGTTATGACCATGCAAGATTAAAGTTTTTTTAAAAAGTGGGTCAAACTCTCAAGGTCAAATGGTCAAGAATATTTATACCATGAATTATCCATTTATACTTAATTGGCACAAGAACTTTTATATTTCACGCGTTTTTATTGCTTGTAACAAGACCTTCACCTGACAAGACCTTCACCTGAATAACATTAATTTTGACTTTTTGACCATTACCTTTTATCTGTGTATGTTGTACATGTCTCGCAAATACACTGTATGGTATTTATAAACTCAATAGTTACTTTATATCCATTTGTCCCTTCAAACTATTTAGTAATGGATATTTTTTATACATTATTATATTTGTGTTGATAATAAATATTCGCCCGCGTGGTGCAGTAGTTAGAGTGTCTGCTCTAGAGTCGCGAAGTAAGGAGTTGATCCTTACGTCGCGGGCCCTAATCCCACTGTGAGACTTGAGGAACGGTCCTTCGGATGAGACCGAATAAACTTAGGTCCTGTGTCGCAGTTGATGCTGGCACGAAAAAGATCCCTTCCTCCTCAACGGCCTAAGATTCCGGGTATAGGTCAAAAGAAGTATATAGGGTAAGGGCCATATAAGGCCCCCTTTCAGAAAATGCAGCTCTCCACCGGCAAGTGGTGGTGTATCCATATGGGTGAAAATTTCTCGAGAGGAACGTTAAACGATATACAATTGTCAATCTTACAAATGTATTCTGTGAAATTATCGAAGAATGATTTCTATGGATAATGGTATAATGAAATCCAATGGTAAATTCCACACTTTTTGATATAGTTTTGTTTGTTTGTTTTTCATTTCGAACCAATGTGAACACATAGTTCTGTTTAATTAATATTTGCTCATCCTGCCACTACAATTTTCTCCATTTGCTTTTAGTGAGACAGTAAATGATGTTGACTTAAATAAATAGTGACTTATACATCAGGGGTAAGCAAGTCTAAATGACTGCATTTTTCTATTATTCAGCATAAGAAATAAAGATAAAAAAAAACAGAAGTGATATAAAACGTATTTCTTTATGAAAAGACAACAATACTTGGGGGGGGGGGGTATATTCTAGCCCAAGATGCTAGAATATACTGCTGAGTTAGACATGTGAAAATTAAGAAGTTTTGTAAAATTTCCAACTATATAAATTGCTGATTACGTCCTTCTTGTTACATGTTATAAAATGTCAAATGCTGTTTTTCAATTAATATGTTTGTTATAAAAATGCCTACGTGCCACACATATACAACATCTGCCTCTAATTAAAAATCCTTGATCTTCAACAAATAATTAATTACATCCTCAACAATTTTTAAATTAATATTTCCGATTTATTACTTTGTATTTGCTGCTCTTTTTTTGCAATGACAATGAAAATGACAATGACAATGACTTTATTCTCATAAAACTTATAAAGTTGTAGAGAACAATAATTAATACAAATACTTAATAACAATGCACATTGCGTGGGAAAGAAGAATTTTAACCAGGAGAGCGAACTCTCTCGATAACGTGCTAATATGTCGAATAGATTGATACAGGTCAATATATTTTTTTAGTGGATTCACTATATGAGGGAGGCATAACACTAAATGTACTTATATTATATTGAATATGTTTTTAATTCAAAAATGATTAGTCCAATATCGTGCACAGTTAGTTGGTGTATTTAGAAAGGTCTTGTCACAGGTATTTCACATGACAGACATAAAGACTAACGGACGGACAGACGGACGAATGCGATTTAATTTCCCATCGCTTTCGAAAAAGCGGGGGACAAAAATCTTATGAAATGAAAAATTCGTTAGGAAAGGCCGAGGCAGATTGGATAGGGATTCAATTCACATACACTTACCCCTACGATATACACAATTGCTAGTTTGAGGTATATTTTGGGGGGTGGGGGTGGGAGTGGAGTGGGGGCGTTTCAGTTGATGATTCTAAAGTATATTGGAAATTAAAAATTCACAAAAAGGTCCTTCAAAAAATAGTAAAATCCCTAGTCCAACTGTAAAATAGTTCAGTACTTTTCAAAGTACATGTATAACATAAAGCCAACTTGATCCGATGACAGACTCAAAATAGAGGTACACATGTAGTTCTTCAAATGTTCTAAAGTTTTTAAGAAAATGAAGTGGAAAAATTAAAAAAAAACATTCAAAAACATATTTATAAATGGAAAAATAAAAAAAAATACCGGTAGGGGACTAATAAGCTAGATTAAGTAATGAACAGATTAAATCAATGTCTCTCCAATGCTTTCGAAGTCAACCTTCCACATCCTCGGTTATTTTAAGTTGTAGAACATTTCTAATAAACAAAAACATATTAATTTTTTGTTACAATTTATTCTTTAAATAGAAAGTGCATATTTTTCATTTTACTAAATTGACAATGTATTTCTCTTTAAAATGTTTTACCTATATTCTAACTGTGAAATCTATTAATTAAATTAATACTAATTGATTGGTAAATGTCATTCAGTAATTATAAGAATTGTCTTGTGTTTGGTCATCTACATATTTTGATTAATTACTTTATTGGAAATCTTTCTGATTCTATATACAAGTACTCAGAGGTTGATATCAAAAGATGCTTGAGTTTCTCATTGACAATATCTAAGTATCTTCTGGATACTCCGTCCTGTTGGAATGACGATAGGCACTAATTGTGCTCCTTTATTAGCGACGCTATTCCTTTAAAGTAGAATCTATTCTTTTACAAGGGAAGGGGAAAAAACTCATGATGTTGCTTTCAACTCAACAGAAATATATCATCGAGATTCATAACCAATTACACAACATAATACTCATTTTTGTTCATATGTCGACTACATACATCCGAATGAACTCAAAATATTATGACACGGAATCTGCCACACCTGTCTCATATTGTAAGCCGTGGGATTTGTAATAATATAATATTATTCAACAATGAAGATGTTTTTAAAAATATTGAACCCCGCATCCAATAGTACATTGCCTACTGTGTCTTCCGTGTGTTGAGTGCCAGTGCTGATAGATGACCTATTATCTACACGAGGAGTGGGCCGGGGAAAGAGGGAGGGGAGAACGTTACATGAAAAATGACATGATTGCATTTATGTTGCATTTGTGTTTTTCATGTAGCCCATTTCCGCTCTCATTCTGCTTGACACAAATCATAGCTGGGTTTAAATGTCAATTAAAGTGTCTTCTATTATGATCTTTATAAAAGATTAGTATTTGATATTGTAAGGAAACAAATGATATACCAATTATATGTAGTTGTATTTGCGATTTTAATTAAGTTTCTCTAATTTAAATCACCAAAATATTGAAATAATACACATGTTTGAGTGAATTTATATTTGCCTAAAATATGCCCGCTAAATGAATCATTTCCGTTTTGCAAAGGCATTATTTATGACAAACATGTAAAAGCTTTGTGTCAACTGACTAAACTATATTCTGCAAAGTCTCTAAAATCTTGAATAATCAGAAAATGTTTACTAGTTTTAAAATCCCTCTGTAATCTGAAATACAGTTTTATCTGCGCCTGCGTCCTGGAAAATCACTCTGACTAACGCACAAACGCGTAACGCACAAATTGTAGTTGCACATGTATTAAATTAATTTAACATGTACAGCCTTCAGTTCCGCTTAGAATTTTCAGAGTTGATAAATTTATACATAATATTGAATAGTAAAAAAAAAACCGACCCACGACCCTTCTCCCGCGTCAAGGACACTTACGAAAAATATTACAGAGAGTGTCAAGATGTTAAGGACAGACGAGACGTTCCTCAATAATAGATAAATTTTTCTGAGAGTTTGTCATTGAAGTATTGCTACTTAAACATGTTTACTCACAAAAAAATTGAGGTACCTTACCAGGCATTTCTGCAAGACAGCAGGGGTAGATTTTCTTATATAATCCTTTGGGGAAGAAAAATAATTTTTCCAATTTCAAATGTTTTAGTATTTGAATTTTTTGAAAACGTTCAGAAACTGGTTTAGAAATCAAAATATTATTAAAATTTTTGATATTTTTCATACATTACGAAGATATACAAACCAAATTTTGAGGAACGTCTCGTCTGACCTTAAAGAAAACCACTTATCCTTCCAATAACCCTACATCCTCAACGAAATAGTTTATCTTCGGGCATGGTTTTTTTTTTCAAAAATTCTAAGTGGGGGTTAAATACCCTGGGAAAAATTTCTTAAGTCACAGTGCATGTCTTTTGCATACTATACACAAATAACCATTTTTTCATATTATATTTCAGCTTTTCTTGGAACTGTACAGGGGTCTCAGAATTTTACCGGAGTCAGTGGAAAAGCTCAGCAAAAATACGAGATCTATATCAACAAAGTCATCAAGGCAGGTGGTCTGAAAAGATTTTTTTAGTAATATTTTATACAGTTGATTACATTTATGGCGATTCTCCCCCCCTTTTTTTTAAAACAAAGATAATCTAAATTCAAAAACAAGATTTAATGCAAATTATGCTTTCCCACAAATTAATGATTGAGCCAATATACTTTTTTAAAAGTTTTTTTTTTCAAATATCTCTTTGTAAAGAGAAAACTTATTTAAGGTGTAATGACCCTTTGATAAGAGAGATAACTTCGGGAAATACATTTGTAATTCTTATAATGTCCATGATGGTTTGTATTCATTGCCTTGATTTTTTTTTATGAAAGTAAGCTCTGTGGGAAAACAAGTAAGTTACTTCAAAAAAGTGCTGTAAGATATTTCAGGCAGAAGCAACACTTCAATGAGTGTATTTTTTCCTCTATTCATTTTTAGGATAAAACAAAGTCAAAGCTTAAGGATAAAGCAATAGCAGTAGTGATAACTCCTTCCCCGCTTGATGAGTGTGCCGTCAAAGTAGAAAAAGACCTTAAAGCCATATTCACAGGTAACACAAGACTTATTTTCTACATTTTCCCACAAAATTTACAAATATCCAACTTCCACTGATCATCAGTTTTTGATTTAATTTATGAGTCAGTGCTGACTATATTTTGAGAATAAAAAATAATGGCACAGACAGAATTAGAGAGGGGCATGCTACCGTGTTGAGAGTCTGAAATGGGGCATTAGACCAAACTATAAATGTTTCAAAACTTGTACTGTTGTATTTGCTTAAAGTTTGTAAACCAAAGAGATTAATACTTTAACATTTTTCTTTATATTTAAACGAATTAGTAAGCTCAAAGGGCAAAAACTTGACAAAGGTTAACGTTAAAAGTTTCTAAGGGCTGTCTTTATTTTAGAAGATTTTGTTTCGTTTAGAATTCAGTAAATAAGATTTCCGGGGTTTTCTTTTCAACAGGGACATTTGACAATTTTGGATCTCCAACCATGAACAAATGTAACTGGCATGAAGATTATTCCAATGTCCCAAAATGTCAAAGAAGAAATCTGTTCAGGAGACTATATGAGAAAAATTGCGGATGTACCGTAAGTTACCAAGAATTTTTCAAAACATTTTAAGTCCCTTGTTTTTACTTGGTATACAGTAAACATTCTCAAGATGGCTTCTTACATTGTTAAATCAATATCTGAAATTTTATCTATCGAATGTTATTGAAAACAATTTTAGGAAATTACATGCTGTCATCATCTCGAGCAGATTCGAATTTTATGCTTGTTGATTGAATACAAACTTTGTTTAATTTTCAGTTAATACCAGTAATTTTAATATTTAAAATAATAGTATTTCATAATTAATATTTCTGTAAATATCAATCAACAGGTCTGCCTTCCTGGTGAATGTCCAACAGACGGCGCCCCGCACTGTGTCTGGCGTTCCCATGACGACTGTGACAACAAACACAGCCATTGTGCCATGTATTCAGGATGTAACAAGTGTTCTTGGAGACGCTGTACTTCTTACTATGATTGCGAGGATGAACTAGATAGATAGTCTTCGCGTATCCAAGAATACCCTGCCATTTAGTATTCATTATTTTATTAAATGACGGGAGGTGTTGTTCTGTTAACCAGTCCAACAGATAACCGGATTCCCCCGAAATACTCCAAAACATTAATCATATTTGGAGAGGTTTTGGCGGTAGAAGTTCCGTTTCTGGTTGGCTGCCATTGCTTGCCCTTTGTGATGATCTCCATTAGCATCTGTAAACTCATGTTGTTGTTAATTCACGAATGCATGCAATACTTAAATTATTTTTAAATACAATGAATTTGTGTTGTATTACGGTCTTGAAGCGTTTTTTTTTAAATGTAAATTTAAGACATGTTTCTTGTTCTATATTCTGTAGATAAAAAAATCTTAACAGAGAGGGCGTTAGGAATAACCCGCAGTTATATCTTGTTGTAATCTTAGCAAAATGGTAATACCGGTATATTTCAATGATAGGAGAGATTTTTCCCATCTTCTGTACGCCTTTTGAAAAGCTATCCAAGGATTCTTTTTCTTCAATATTAAAAAGTGACCGTATATACTCAATAGCCCTTTAATCCAGTAGACTAGTGCGCTCTCTATACCTGTTCAAACGACATTGCATATTGACAATACATCCTTATTCAGCCAACCCGTGTGTGATACTATAGTGTGCTCCAGTGTATTTTTCTATGCGTTTTATTCATTGTACTTGGATTTGTAGATTTGTACATCTCAGCATATCTAATTTTTGTTTTGCTTTATTTAAAACTTGTTAAAATAATCTGTACAACAATTCAGTTTCTGAAATTTAAGGTGAAAAACAGTTTAAACGAAGTGAACAAAGACATATTACTAGTAAACACATTTGTTAGAATCTGCTTATACATTTCTTCATGTGAAGAAACTGGACAAGGTCCTGGCCCCGGGATCATGAAGCATCTTAAGCTTAAGTCAAAATCTTCATGTATTACATAAATACTGTAGTAGTCAAAGAGACCAAAACCAAACTGTTTTACAATATTGTTTTACAGTTCTAAGTGTTATCATTTGCAAAATTAGAGATTAATTCAATAAATAATGAATATTTTACAGGAGATTGAAAATTTGACGTAAGTCTAAGTTTGTTTCATAATCTTGGGACCTGCAGGTCTGAATTTGATTCCATAACAGACTTGGATGATGACGTCAGTACATACCAGGAGGTAAACACAGTACTTTATGTATTTTCTTCCAGTCTTTCTTTTGACAATCTCTAGAACAGTACACCGCTACTTTACACTGTGAACATTTCTTAAATTTAGTCTGAGAGGACTCCTTTCCACATTCCCAACATTGAGATCTTGTTGTTGATGACGGTTCCTCAACTGAGACCGAGAATTTCAGATTCACAAACACCTTGATCTTTTGAAAGTATGACTTCAGTTGTACTTTGTTTTGCATAACGACGAGTGATTTCTCTGGATTCTGCAAATCCCACTTGAAGAGTTTTATGATATGGTCATCGATGCCATGTTTTTTCGTGACTTCGTCACCGAGGTACAGACCACTCTCTTCTTCTGGGTTTTTCTCGACGTACTTAGATTTAGATTTCAAAAGAATCAATTGCTCTGATGGAATGTCCTCTACAAATGTATTGTCAACCACGTGACCTTGCACTTCTAACCACACGTGTGCAAGTTTTATTTCTCCAGCGTCAAGAATGCCGTACACAATTCTACTCTGAATGTCCATTGCGGTTAGACATCGATGCAAGATCAGATTAATCTTGCTGCAGGCATTGCTTACTCGAAGTGACTTTTGCAGGCCCATACTGGTTGACAACAGCCCCCGAATAGCCTTTGCTCTAGCAACATCATCCGGCACACCGAATGGAGACTTGGTAAAATCGAATTCCATTTTTGATTGGGGCTACTGGTTTTTGGCTACAAATAGATATACATTGTGCATAAATATACTCATACGGAAAAGGGTGCTATGTATCCTCCTTCCCATTCCTCAGCCCAACAATATGTCAGAATTTTCATGGGTAATGCATCTTAGGTAGAAGGTGTGTCCCGACCCGGCTATTTCAAGGTCACTGTGACCTTTAATTTAAGTGAAAAAAGGTCTTGTCACAAGGAATAAACATTTATTCAATTAAAATATATGGGCAAGTTTAAAGTTTTTGCGGACAAACAGACAAACAAGGCAAAACCTAGATACCCCCGAATCTTCTATAACGGGGGCATAAAAATAAATAAACAAAACAAAAGCTGCAATAATTCCATGACAACAAACTCTCTGGCAGAAACGGATTAATTTATCTAAAAAGTGATGGTGTAAATTTTGATATTAGGTGTTTCAGAAAATGGGGAATGTGCTTTTAATTATATTTTTCTCGATGAGTGATGTAATCAGATAGAGATGAAAATAAATAAATGAATGAAGCAGCGTTAGATTTACAAATTTAAGTTTTGGTTTGCTTGACAATAATTGAGTTGGTCCTCTCAAAAATAAAACAGTAACTTACCGAAATGAGACAAGAGAAATAGTCCTACAAAAGATGAGATGTAAATTGTATATATAAGACAAAGTTAATACATGTATACCTTTGAAATTGAACGTTATCGAAACTCTCCAGCTTCTACATGAAATGATATCTATAACAAATGGATTTAAACAATGCTAAATGGCATTTATTTTCTAGTTAATTTGTGTAATTCTTCCTTAAGGAAAAAGAAATAAAATAAACGCGTCCTTGTCCTTGTTGTTGTACGGAACTTTTAAAACACCTTTTTGTCCAATGCCCCACGGTCAAGATTAAGAAAAGGGTTCATTGAATATATATGACAACAGGAAATAAAGACAATTATTTCTTTGAAAAATGAGCGAGTCAAAATGTCAATTTTGTAAAATTTTGCCCCGCAAAGTATACTAGTAATAATACATTGTAGTGTGTGCATTTGTTTTTCAATAAAATTTCTTTTCGAAAAATACAAGCGTTAATTAAAGCAATTTTTACGAGTGGTCAAAATGACTATGACCCTCACAAAAAGATCAGATAATAAAATATAGACATTTTGTAGGAAATGCTTATTTTATATCATAGTATACTGAAGTCATATTCCAAAAGATCATAGTATCACACATGCAAGTAATTTTTATTCAAGATAAAATAAATAAAAGTCTGGAAAATATTGATCAGGATATGGGATATGTCAAGGTGACACAAGTACATGTACATGTACCCCTCATCTACACGGTCACTTCTTACATTGTTGAACTTTCTCATTTCAGTCTGTCTGATCGTCTGTGAGTACATCCGTTTTTGTCTGGTTACTGAATCGTCTGTGAGTACATCCGTCTGTCTGGTTATTTCCCCGTTATTTCCCGATCATGACAAGAAGCACACGGCGGTTGTGACCGGTCGGCAGGGAATGCTCACTCCACCATAGCACCTGATCCCACCTCTGATGTTTTGAATTTCTCTGTTTGCTCTGCTCCTATTTTGTATTGTTTAATGAACTTTAGAGCTTGAATACTAATCATTATCTCTATATATTTTGAACATTGTGTTATGATGCTAGTATGTTCAATACATATTGTAAGAGAACCAAGGTACATGTACTCTTCCTTTCTGTACTGAATTTTTTACATGCTGGTTCTGTTGACTTTTTAAAAAGAAGTCAACAATCTTGCCAGGACTGAGACAGAGATTTTTCCCTTCTACGTTTAGCAATGAGATTGCCCAGAACTGATTTATCCTCTCAGAGATCTCATCCTTTGCTAGAAAGCACCCCTCAGCTTTTTGCCAACAAGATGGAATCTTCTCTTTCCTCCATACTACTCTTAATAGTTTCCATAGGTGTTTAAGAATCTTCGGTCATCTCTTATAGACTTTATAGGGGATACCGTTTGGACCTAGTGTTTATGATGTTCTTGCTTTCCTTACAATATCTTGCACTTCTTTCAATAATGACTTCTTTTCATTCTTTGGTTCTGGTAACTCTTCTATTCTATATAAGCGGTTCCACTGCTCTTTGTCACCGCGTGTTTCTTCCAAGTTGTTTTCAACATCCTCTTAAAATCTCTTCAGTGCCCCAGATTTTGAACCTTCAAGGGTTGAATGTGTAAGTCTGTATGGTCCTGCCACAAACTTTGCCCTCTTTTCCTCTCTCTTGTCTGGCTTTCCTTATTCTCTCTGATCTATGTAGGTTCTTCTTCTCTCTCAGAGTTTTTCTTAGTTCACTGAGCCCTATTTTCTGATTTTCATTTGTTGTTCTATACTGCTTGGTTATTGCATTGATTTCTTGTCTTAGTTTTTGTATCTCCTGCTGGCGTTTGTTTGGTTTTCCTTTTGGTTCCCCCTACGTTTTCTCTTTTTGGTTCCAAAGCGTTCAACTCCTACATTGTATAATTTAATAATATCGTAGTCAATGATGTTATCTTCCTTTGCACATCACGCAGTGTGCTATGTAGGATTTTGTTCACGTTACTGTATATATAAATATTGCATGTAGTTGAGTATAACATTGAAAATTTTCACCCCAAGAAAACCCATTGTCAGCCAAGGCGCAGCCGAGGTTTGATAATGGTTTTCGACGCGCGAATGCTACGATATGCTACGCTGGGTAACAGTGTTTTTAAACAAACGTTTCTCGAGGAATCTAGATTCAACCATTTACATGAAAGTATAATATTGTCAAATGCTTCCAATCCCTTGTCGTCTGTTGATGGCCACTGAACTGCTGGATTCCTATTATCTACAGATGGTTCTGGGGTTGTAGGGTGTCCGCTCGACTTTTTGGTATCTGGTTCCAGATATCTGCCCAGGATAGTGTCCCCTGGTCTATTTCCAATCTTGTCCAAGCCTCTTGGAATCCGATCTCCACTGCCTTAATTAGCTTGTCGATTTTCTTCCTCTCTGGCTTGGATCTCTTTCTACACCATGCTACTCCTCTCCTTTGTGCCTGCCTTCTTCCAAAAGCTGCTTTTGGATGCCCCTAGACCTTGCCTTACCACCGCCACCGTTCCTACTATGTCTTCGTGCCTCAATCTGTTCTCCGCCTCGCCCTCTGTCTTTCTTGCTATAACCATTTCCGCTCTGTCCATACTTCTACTCCAGATAATCGGACCTTATCATTCCTTGAGACCTTAAAGGTCATGCCATGGTAATCTTTGCTTTGCTACTATTTGCTACTGTATTCCTGTTTGTCTGTAACAATTCCACGCGATATTCCGAGATGCCTTTTAGCTGTTGCAATCAAATTTTACACTACAACTCTCTATGATCCAAGGAGGATCCATATTGTTTTCAAGTCAAAAAGTCAAGGGTGAAGGTAATAAATTTAAATTTCTGTCTGTTTAACACTTTCGTTTCCGCGTGATACCTCGAGATGCCTTTTGCAATGACATTTTATACAACAAATCTGTATGGCCTGTAGAAGAACCCTATTTATTTTAAGGTCAAAGGTCAAGGCCGTAAATTCATGCATTCTGTATGTCTGTAAAACTTTTCATTTTCAGGGGATATTTCAAGAAGCATTTGAGCTTTTGCAAAAATATTTTTGACCATAACACCCTATTGTCCCGCCTGCCCTTAATTCTTAATTAAGACACCGAAAGCGGGGGACCATGCGCAATTCGTTGAATCTGCATGTTATTTTGATTCTTTAAAGAAATATACTTTATAGAAATAAAGGATATATAGTTATTCCAGATGAAACCATTAAGCATATCTGAAAGATGAGAAAAAGGTTGATGACAAACTAGAATCCGCCGATGGAAAATTAATGAACCGTTCTTAAAGACCTGGGAATATAATACACAGTGTACTTCGAGTTTTAGATAATTAAAGTGAAAACTTCCATGTACTAAAACAAACATGTGATTGTCGTCTATATACGAATTCCAAATAAAACACACGCACTCAACTGCACTCTCTCCCTTGCATACGTATTTTCAGAACAACATAAAAAAAGAAGATGGGAAAAATCTCTCCCATCATTGAAATATACCGGTATTACCATTTTGCTAAGATTACAAGAAGATATAACTGCGGGTTAATCCTAACGTCCTCTCTGTAAAGATTTTTTTTAATCTCTAGAATATAGAACAAGAAACATGTCTTAAATTTACATTAAAAAAAACGCTTCAAGACCGTAATACAACACAAATTCATTGTATTTAAAAATAATTTAAGTATTGCATGCATTCGTGAATTAACAACAACATGAGTTTACAGATGCTAACGGAGATCATCACAAAGGGCAAGCAATGGCAGCCAACCAGAAACGGAACTTCTATCGCCAAAACCTCTCCAAATATGATTAATGTTTGGAGGAATCCGGTTATCAGTTGGATTGGTTAACAGGACAACGCCTCCAGTCATTTAATAAAACAATGAATACTAAATGGCAGGGTATTCTTGGATACGCGAAAACTATCTATCTAGTTCATCCTCGCAATCATAGTAAGAAGTACAGCGTCTCCAAGAACACTTGTTACATCTTAACAGAGAGGACGTTAGGATTAACCCGCAGTTATATCTTCTTGTATTCTTAGCAAAATGGTAATACCGGTATATTTCAATGATGGGAGAGATTTTTCCCATCTTCTGTACGCCTTTTAAAAAGCTATCCAACGATTCTTTTTCTTCATTATTAATATTAAAAATATCAATACGATCAATAAATATCAATATTAAAAAGTGACCGTATATACTCAATAGCCCTTTAATCCGTAGACTAGTGCGCTCTCTATACCTGTTCAAACGACATTGCATATTAACAATACATCCTCATTCAGCCAACCCGTGTGTGATACTATAATGTGCGCCAGTGTATTTTTCTATGCGTTTTGTTCATTGTACTTAGATTTGTAGATTTGTACATAATGTGAAGAAACTGGACAAGGTCCTGGCCCCGGGATCATGAAGCATCTTAAGTTTAAGTCAAAATCTTCATGTATTACATAAATATTGTAGTAGTCAAAGACACCAAAACCAACCTGTTTTACAATATTGTTTTACAAAAGTGTTATCATTTGCAAAATTAGTAATTCAATAAATAATGAATATTTTACAGGAGATTGAAAATTTGACTTAAGTCCAAGGTTGTTTCATAATCTTTGGACCTGCAGGTCTTAATTTGATTCCATAACAGACTTGGATGATGACGTCAGTACATACCAGGAGGTAAACACAGTACTTTGTGTATTTTCTTCTAGTCTTTCTTTTGACAATCTCTAGAACAGTACACCGCTACTTTACACTGTGAACATTTCTTAAATTTAGTCTGAGAGGACTCCTTTCCACATTCCCAACACTGAGATCTAGTTGTTGATGACGGTTCCTCAACTGAGACCGAGAATTTCAGATTCACAAACGCCTTGATCTTTTGGAAGTATGACTTCAATTGTATTTTGTTTTGCATTATGGTGAGCGCTTTCTCTGGATTCTGCAAATCCCACTTGAAGAGTTTTATGATATGGTCATCGATGCCATGTTTTTTCGTGACTTCGTCACCGAGGTACAGGCCACTCTCTTCTTCTGGGTTTTTCTCGACGTACTTAGATTTAGATTTCAAAAGAATCAATTGCTCTGATAAAATGTCCTCTACAAATGTATTGTCAACCACGTGACCTTGCACTTCTAACCACACGTGTGCAAGTTTTATTTCTCCAACGTCAAGAATGCCG